CCCCCCCCCACTTAAAATTATTTGATCATTAAAGATGGCTTCTTCTTTGTCCCAATCTTCTTGTTCTGCAAGCGTTTCTTGTTGCTTCTCATAGTTCCAGATCTCCATTTCTAAGAATTGAAACACGAAGCCAAAAGAACCTCTCCCGTCTTGTGCATCTTTTTTTCCATTTTTTAAGTTTTCTGTTTTCAGTTCTTCTCAAAGTGATACCATTTTAAAAACTTTTAAACAACCACCCAGTTAATTTTAGTCATCTAGATGCAAAAACCAAAAATCATCAAGTAATCCAAATAATCCAAGGCTGTTTCTATTTGCTTCTTTTTTCCACTTTCTCTTCCTGGGGTTCTATTATTTTGTTACCAAGATTCCATTAAAATGTATCTTTGAGGAATCTTGTTAACATTTCACTGTAACGTCCTTTTAATTATAGTTCCATTCCTTAATTCCAGGCAGTCTCCTCCATTTTTCCAGATCCTGCCCTTCTATTCTTTTTTTTTCTCCTTTCCAGCTTTTAAAAACTTTTAAATGTCCAGAAATCTTTTTTATCCCTTTGACTTTTATTTTCAGCTTAAATGCCTATTAATGTCAAAGTGGATTTTTTTTTTCAGTTTCTTGCTTAAGTCTCTTAGCTGTCAGTATAAGGAAGAAAAAAAACCTAATCCTTTCCCTTCTCTCTCTCCTTCGCAGCTTCAGAATCTTCTTTGGGAACAATGTTGTTAAGTTTAAATTTCAGGGTACCTTATTTGTTGCTTTTGCTGTTTGACCTGGTCAACCAAAACTTTTTCTTCTCATCTTCCTCCTGCACATTCTTTTCCGGTCGAGTTCTTCTTGTGGTGGCCATTTCTGATCACCGCTACAACCGCCTTCGGGAAAGAGAGTAATGGCCAGCTGGGGAGGAGAGATGCGGCTCTCCTCAACCTTGCAGGCAGTCTCCCCCTTCTTCACCACCTCTATGGGGTGGCTTAGCCCCGAAACCAGCCGGCTCGGGGCACTCCAGTGGCGAGCACGGATCGAAGCCTTGGAGAGACGAGGTTTCTGTCTGTTGCCGAAGAAGCTCAAACCAGAAGAGCCTAAATTGTCAGAATTATGTAACCCTCCGGAGCTAGAGAAATTTCAAATAGCAAGGACAAACACTCCTGACTTTTCACCCAGAAAAAGTCTTGGAATAATTTCCTCAGGTTTTCCATTAAGGATGTATAAAGAAGCCCTGAAAGGTGTTCACCCTTAATAGGATTAAAACTTGATCAGAGGAAGTCAACTAATGTCAGTGGCGCTGTAACTCAACCAAAACAATACTAATTGAATTAGCAAATCAACCTTCTACCGCACAGTAGGAGTAAAAAGAAGTCAGAGTGGATACTTTTCCACTCTGTGTTTATAAACGTGAAACCTGCATTAATGTGCGTTTGTTTATCACATCACTCCAACAAAGTTCTTCTTCGATTTTGGAGTGGGTGTTCTTTATTCTCCACAGCGCCTACATAGCATAGTTCTATCCTTTGTTTCTCTAGAAATCTAAATTATTTATTTTGGCAGAAAATATTTACATGGCATTTATTTGCTGGGTGGTGTTTTTTTTTCCAGCTGTGACGCTCTTTCCTTTTTGTTGTTGTTGTTCTATTAGGAAGGCTTTTCCAGTGCTTAACCAATGCAGCAATACTGATTATTAAAGGTGTATGGCGCACATGGAATTTGAAGTCAAAAAAGGTGCTCAGCAAGACAAATACAGCATCTATTGGCCGCCATTTGAACAAAAATCATCTTTTCTGAGGTTGTATGGCAGTTGAAGAGAGAAGGCAACAGATTCATGCCTCTCTACATGTTCGAAAACATTTTTTTCAAACCTTGGATCAAATTTCTTGACCTTGCCAGCTCCTGGCAGATGAATTTTTCTAGTATTTTTTTTTTGACATGTTATTTCCCCCATTTCAAGGATACAAATCAATGCTTTTGTCTACTATCAAATGGATACTCCTATTGGGGTGGCTGGATTCTAGAGTTTTACTGACATAGAGCCAAGAGGCTGGAGAGCTACAGCAGTTTTCAGGATGAACAGGTTGCTGATATGTTCCAGTTTTGACAGCTACCATGGTGTGCGCGTTTCATAGATTTTTTCCCCAGTTCCTTATAATTATGGCAGGCTCCTACGCTACAGTATAATCTCTCATGGACACCATTATTTTTACTGACAAATTAGAAGTCTGAATAATGATGGCTTTCGTGAGCTATATGCACTTGCATGTCTATTCCCCCAGCAATGTACTACAGTGCAGTATTGTATTGCCCTGGACTTTTTAGCTCAAATGTGTAATTGTAGAGAATGGCTGATTTCATACTGAGCAAATTGTAGCTCAGTGGTATACTACAGGCTTTCCCTGCAGAAGACTCTCAATTCAATTGCTGAATATATTGAATTAAAAGGATCAGGACAAAGATGATTAGAAAGATCAGGACAAAGCCTCTGTCTGAGAGCATGGGAAGCATTTTCCAGTCAATGCTTCAAATTATTCAAGAAGGCACCACAGTAGCAAAAGCTAAATTATACTGAAAGAGAAACAAATTCAGCTCCTGTGCTGAGCAGTGGCTGTGAAACAATCTCACACAGCTCTTATCCAACTGATATTTGTATGAGAGCGGAGGATAAGTTTTAACTGAACAGCTACTACTGAAAACATTTGTTATAAAAATGAACTCCTTGCCCTGGTGTTCAGCAAATATGGTCTCAAGCACATAACTTGAGCAACCAACTGGTTTTCTAAATAGTTCAACTGGTTTAGTTGGTAGGTATATAGTTTGTTTGATGGTTACAAAGAGAGTTTGAACAGGTAGAGCTGGTTTTCAGTATTTGCTAAGACAATTCCTCAGAGTGGCCTTGAGCAAATGAAGCAGTTGTGAGATTAAAATAAGACAAATATTAATACATCATCCGTGTATGATGAAAACTATTTTTGTATGTTTTATAAAAAGAGATGGAAAGCAATAGCAGCAAACAAATATAATTAGTCTGCATCTTAAAATGGAAATTCCATTCATACACACACAATTTAAAAAAGTACCTTTAAAGTTTCGATCTCATTCCAAAATATACATCTTTAAACCTGATTTGAATTTCCAAAGTGAAAAGTCTGCCATATATCACAGCAAAAATTTATCTCTCTATTGTTTGTTCCAAAAGTTGGCACAATACTTAGCTTGTTAGCAGCTCAGAAACTAATTGTCTTGCCTTCTAGAGAAACCAATAAAACAAAGTTCATCTTCCTATCATCCTTTTGAGTCCCTTTTGTAAACACAAGCACAGCATTTACCCTTAACAATAAGCAAGGTTGTACATAGTAGTTGTTCACTTTGAAACCAGAAGTTCCTTTGAAGGAAAAAGAAGGAAGAAAATTTAATTCCATAGAGAAAAGATGACAAGTTACTTCGTGTTCTTCTGCATCAAGTTCTTCAGGAGTCTCTAGAAGCCAATTTCATAATTCTGTCTGTCTCTTGAAAGAATGAAGATTCTATCAATACAAGTCCTTCAATAATTTGTCACAATGAATGGCGTTTAGTTCCTTCCCAAAGCTCCAGTCTCTTTGTAGTGAGCAGCTGAGCCACTCCACTTAAAAGCATCAGGAAAATAGTGAAGGACATCACAATGACATAATGGCTAATACTGCAATGAAGAGAAAATAATACGTTAGAAAGAAGCAGATTACAAATCAAATAATCTAAGGGAACATGGTTTACTGTTAAAATTATACACATACACACATGTACGGATCCACACACACATATAATCTTAGGCAGGTATGTTTAAAGAAACAGTTTGCAATCTATCAGTTGCTGATTTTAACAGGACATTTGCAGAAAGAAGGCCAGCCATAGATGGATTTATTTCTAGACATTAGATTATAATGCATCAATGCCTGACAGGCTCCCACAACATTTTGGAAAATTATGGTTACCCAAGTTACTGGAACACAGAACTGCAAATGTCCTACATGCAGAGTTTATTTTTTATTTTTTTGGTTTATTTAATTTGTTTGCTGCCTGCAATACAAAAGAGACACTAGGTTGCCCATCACTTCCCAAGAGGCCCATAGAGATTTTGATGCCAAATACCTTACTTGGGAGCTTCAATAACAAATGAGAAAATGTAAGATAAAACTTAATTAAAAAAAATATATCCATCATTCAGTCAGGGCCAAAAAGGTAACACCAGAGCTTAACCATGGTTTATATAACAGAATAATGGAGTTGAAAGGGATCTTGGAGGTCTCCTAGAACAATCCCCTGCTCAAGCAGGAAACCCTATATCATTCTGGACAAATGGCTCTACTTAAAAACCTCCAATGATGGAGCATCCACAACTTAGGAAGAGAACCATTTCCAGGTTAATTGTTCCGCTGTCAGGAAATTTCTTCTTCATTCTATGTTAGTTGTCCCCTTTCCACCCATCGCTTCTTGTCCTGCCTTCTGGGTGCTTTGGTAAATGGGCTGGCTCTCTCTTCTTTGGGGCAGCTCCTCAAATATTGGAACACTGTTATCATGTCACCCCTGGTCCTTTTTTTTCATTAGACTAGACATACCCAATTCCTGCAAGTGTTCTTCATGTGTTTTAGCCTCCAGCCCACCAATCATCTTTGTTATTCTTCTCTGCACTCTTTCCAGAGTCTCACATCTTTATATATATATATTATGGCGACCAAAACTGGATGCAAGATTCCAAGTGTGGTATTACCAAGGCATTATAAAGTTACTAACACTTCACATAATCTTGATTCTATCCCTCCATTAATGCAGCCTAGGATTGCAATGGGCTTTTTTGGCAGCTGCAGCACATTGTTGTTGCAGCACACAATATTTAAGTGATTGTCTACTAGGACTCCAAGATTCCTCTCACAGTTACTGCTATTGAGCCAGGTTTTACCTATTCTGTACCTATACATCTGGTTTTTATTGCCTAAGTATAAAACCTTACTTTTCTCACTACTGACATTCATTTTATTAGATAGGAGTATTGTCTATTCCTGCCAGCTAGGTGTCATCTGCAAATTTGATGAGTTCCTCTTCTTGTCCCTCATCTAAATTGTTTATGAAGAGCCACGGTGGCGCAGTGGTTAGAGTACTGCACTCCAGCAGTTTGGCAGTTCAAGTCTCACCAGGCTCAAGATTGATTCAGCCTTCCATCCTTCTGAGGTTGGTAAAAAGAGAACCCAGATTGCTGGGGGCAATATGTTGACTCTGTAAACCGCCTAGAGTGGGCTGTGAAGCACTATGGAGTGGTATATAAGTCTAAGTGCTATTGCTATATTGAAGAGTATTGGACCTAAGATAGAATCATGAGGTACCCCACTGCTTCCTTCCATTCATGTAGATGTAGTTTTATTAAAGACTACATGTTGAGTGTGGTTTGTCAGACAGTTATAAATCCATCTGGTGATATTGCTGTCTATCACACATTTTTCTAACTTACTAAAGAAAAGGTTGTGGTCTACTTTGTCAAATGCCTGACTGAAATCCAGGTATCCTATGTCCACAGCATTTCGCTGGTCCATTAATTGATTCACTTTGTCAAAGGATGAATTAAAAGCCACTTGACTTTAACATCGGCCCAGAATTTGCCCTCAATCCCTTAACATTTCTGAGAACCAACCAACAACATTACTCAGGTTGCATTAAAAAAAGTCAATAATAGACAGGTAGGATAATCAAACTGCAGAAACCATTCTTTCAACAATTTGACTAACACCATAGAGTTGCCCAAAATTCTTACAATAAACACAACCTCTCTGGGAGGAAAATATTAACTCTGTAATCCAAATGAATTTTTTTTTTCTTCATTTCCAAGTAGTGTCAAGTTAATGAAACTGTTATTGAATTTGTTCTCATTTTAATGTAGAACTTCGTGGAACCTTATAAGTTCTCCATTCTATATTAGTATCTTCTTTTCCTTCCCCAAAAGTTATATGCAAGTGAGGAATAAAGCATAAGTCTACACAGTTAAGTTTTGATGTTTAAAAAATAGAGATTATTTGATGACTGTTCCAATTTGTGTTTTAATCTTCCTAAGCGCAGATGAAATTTTAATTACTCTGAATAATTAAAAGGAATTCATGACTGCATATTTTGTTTGTTCATAGTCAGAAGTTCAGCTTATATTAACTCTAGAGAGTCAGTGAGAAATATCTGACTATGAACAAACAAAATATGCAGTCATGAATTCCTTTTAATTATGGCTAAATGTCAAACAAACAATTGAAACGTCATAATCAGTAGACAATAGGAATTCATAATTGTTTGAACTGATTCTTTGACATTTTGATTTTAAACGTATCCAGAATCAATCATCTGCTAAATTGCAAATCAAACAACTCTCTTCTTTCTTCCTGGATTCACCTTTTAACTTCCTTTAAATTATTCTCATTTTTTCTGTGAATTCTTTGACTCAGTGGCTCTATATTCTTACCAAAAACCAAGCCTAAACTGATTTCAGGAACTAAATTAAATGCATATTTTCGCCCAGTACCTGTAACAACCATTACTTGTGTCGTTTTTAGACACTAAGAACCTTGGCACAGAGACAATATTTTTAATGACATTTAGTTAAGCATCGTAAGATGCTACTAAATGAATGGCTGAAATGAGGAAAGCGGGTTTATTTGCATAGTGCAGAACTTGCCATACTGAACACAAACTGCCAAGGGGAACTTCATTCCAAAAGTTATATATTACTGAAGTAGTTAGGAAGGAAGCTTAGTATAAAATCCTGTCAAGAGTCGACAATTTAGAAAGCGAATAGCTAGATAGATGGAGACAGATTTATAGATATATGGTTAAAATGAACTGATATATTTGTTCCATGTAGAAACAAATGAAACACACACACACACACACACAAATGTATACCTACTTTACATAGCAGTTGCCCAATAAAGATGATCCATAGGAACAAGAGTATTTAATGTCTTATTTGAACGTGACTGTATTCCTTCTCGTTTTTCCCAATGGAGAATTAAAGGGAACAATTTGTTGTAGACTTTAGGTGGAAGTTTATCACAACTCTGCTATCAGAAACCCATGACCAAGCATAGCATGGATTAGAAGCAACAGCTATTCGCTTGTGTTTAATTTGTTTTCTGCATAAGCTAGGATTCTTTGCCTGATGGCCTAAGGACTGCAGTGGATAATCATCGGATTGAACATTCAAGCAATAAAGCATAATAATTTGAGGCAAGGCAACTGTGTTTAGAAAATGCAATATGGCTCAAGTTGGATGTGCATGTGTGCGCATTTTTAAACAATAAACATTGAGCCAGGGTATATATCATGCTAAGCCAGGCTAATGTTTTACAAGGAGTGGCACCTGCTCACACTCATGGGCTCCATTCCCTAGGCAATGCAACTGGCAAACAGATGTCACTGTTTAGCTAGAGCATAGCGTATATTCCAAATGTGGTTTCCATGCTGATCACAATTACCTAGAGAACATAACCATAAATAAATCTTGGCTATGTTCTCTGGTTAATACAGGCTGGATATAAAGTGCATCCCGCTTCCAGAGAACACTCTTAAGTGTAGACACTTGTTTGAATATCAAAATACCTAAAGAGAATAGAAAACCAGGGGGACTTCTCTATGCTTATGGTGATTTCATGTGATCTTTAAGCATTTCTTGAACACATTTTACGGAAACAGAGGTTAATGAGTGCAGAGGTGACAGACCCGTAAAAGTCAAACAAGTTTCACTCTTACCTATAGACATCAATTGCATTAGCAGACTTTCGAACGAGGAACACAATTGATAGTAGCTGTCTTTTCCCATTAGAAGTAATTAAATGTATTAACATCTATTTCTGTCCCTTTGCCTTTAAGCTGCAATAAAAACCCTGGACCTCAGATCAAACGAGACCATTTGGAATGGTACAGAATCGTGTTCCAGAAAAGAGCTGAAACTTGGTTGTGCATATGCGCAGGGAGGCATGGGTTCTACCGCTGAGCTAGCATTGCCTAGCAGAGTCTGAACAAGGCATTCTCATTCATGCCAATCAAAGCTTACAAAGAGCACTGCTAATCAGGATGAGGACACAGCATGATTCGGAAATTGCTCATCTTTAGTCATGATTAGAGAAGGAACATCAGTGAGGGGGATAAGCTGTGATCTGAAGAGGTTGGTTAATGCATCAGGAAGTAACTACTTTTAAAAGTTTTAAATGATTCCTGTGCTGATTCTTCCCATTCTCTCCTGATCGTGAAAGGCAGGCATCAAAAGCAAACCTAGAGGCACTTTTTTATATAAAGAGCTTAACTGTTATGCCTCCAAGACTACACGTTCATATGTAGCTAAAAGTTAAGTAGCAGGTCAGGGCATTTTAAAAACAATGTCCAGCCTCTGTCTTGATCCATGAGGAAAATAAATGCCATTTCGTTTTATAGCATTCTATAAAGAAAACCGTGGAACTATGTTAGCCTTAGTTCTGAGTTAAAGGAAGAATAATTATCTATTCATAATTCCCATTAAAAAGGAACTTTGTCAGGTATCATTGAAGGGTATCCAACCTTGACAACCTTAAATCTTGTGGACTTCATATCCCAGAATTTCCCAGCCAGTATTGCTGGCTGGGGAATTCTGGGAATTGAAGTCCACAGGTCTTAAAGTTGCCAAGGTTGGACACCTCTGATTTAAGCGATCATTGAACCATGAGTTTCGTTTAGTGTTAGAAAATATCTAATCATTTGTTTGAAAATGTATCTGTCAACTTCAAACCAAATCTGGTTTTTTTCTTGTTCAGAAAAAAAAAAGGAAAGTAAGCTTAAGGTGGAAATGGTGAGAAAAATGCTGACAGACAGCTTCCTCATTGGTTTATCTCCAGAAAAATTAATTTACCTTCTGAAAATACAATTGCAGATTTGCCAGGTCAACCAGTGCAGCTGTTTTGAGAACAACAAAACATTCCACAGGGGAAAAGCCACTTGGTGTGAATTACAAGAATATGCTTCTCAAATTCCAAATATGCTCATCAACAACTCACAGAGGCCGGTTTACTAGGGGAAATGGGTATTGGTACTTACCTGATATGCCCATTCTCTGTGAGCTGTGAAGAACATCCAGTAGTGGGAGGTGCTTCAGTCTCCTCTTGGATAGGCTGGGCTTAATTTGCAGGAGGCTCAGCCTATCCAAGAGGAGACTGAAGCTGGATGTTCTTCCCAGCTCAGGGGAGAAAGTCATAGATACTCTGCACAGAGTGCCAGAAAAAAATAGTAAAATAAAAAGCATAAAAGTCTTTCAGACTTATGAAAACTAGACAAATACTGTATTTTAGAGATGAAGACTGCAAGGACAAAGAAACTGCACTAATTGTGTAAAACCTAAAGTAAGATGAGCACTTATACTGGTATAGCACCGAAACCAAAGCCGCTGTGATGACTCGGGGCATGGCACAAAGGCAATACAGTCAGATAATAAGTAGGAGTCCCTTTATTTGCTCCAACTTTGCTCCCAATGTCCTGGTTACCTTCTGGGCTGGAGAAAATCTCTCCCAGGAACAGCCTTTGGCTGCAGAGATTCAAGTCCAAAATGTTGTCAACAAAAACTGTAACTATAAGTCCAATCAAGGCAAGATGAGGTAATTAGTCCAGCAGGGCAAGATAAGGAATTCCAGAGATGAAGGAATGGCAGTAATTCAGCTCAGTTGGGAGGATGCCAGGAACGCAGATAACCAAAGTCAACACAAAATAAACTCACATTTGTTCCCAGCAGACGCTACTCTCAGCTTGCATCTCTTTTAAACTCTCTTCCCAGTGTGGCTAACGAAGGGAATCAGGGTCCTTTCCTCCCCCATAAGCCACGCAACCCATGTTGCTCTCTTCCCCGTTTCTCCCTGCGTACCCTAGAATGAAGAGTGGGTGGGCCTGGGCCTTCCTCTGAACTCTCCCTTGTTCTACCATTCTCCTCCTCTGCCAAGCTGGACTTTGCCCTTCCCCAAGTTTCCTCCACAGCCAATGGAGCCACATTCCCGCTCCCTGTCAGCTATTCATCTTCCTCCTCGGATTCAGACTCCGACAGGGACGTGATAGCTGCTCTTGTTTTGGATATGTATCATGAAACAGCTATGTAAAACATGGATGGTGTACATCAATTAATGAACTAAATTCTTTCAATAGTCTTGAACAGTGGTCGCCAACCGGTAGGCCGCAGCCTACTGGTGGGCCGTGAGAAAATTTTGGTGAGCCGCAGAGAAATCTCACCCCCAGAGCACCCCCACAAAGCAATTAATCCAGGCTGCGCATAAACACAAGGCTGCGCTATCCACATGGCCTGCGGGAACCCTCCCTCCCCACTCACTCCTTACTGGGTAAACTTGCCTGCTAAATTGGTATTTTTCCTTTTTCCGACCATCATCTGTTCTGCTGTGCCAGGAGATTTAGATTAGTTAGGAAGCAGGAAATGGTTGGATTTCTTGCTTTCTAGCTAGTCTTTTGATCTTCGGCTTAGCACAGCCGAACCTCCCTTAGGACTGAAGGTTTGCTTGCAAGCAAATTCAGTGCAGACTAACGACAAGCAAATTTGAGAGATTGAGCAAGCAGATGGCAGATAGATAGATCACTGAATGATTCTGTGAGCAATTCAATCTGCCTGCTTTGCCTGATTTTGGGTAAAAGTTGCTCTTTTTTATATGAAAAAGAAAATCAATATTTACATGCATGGTGTGTTGTCAGTTAATTTTGTGAGTTTGCTTGCAAGCAAATTTTATGAGACAGACTGAGCTAGCCAATGGCAGATAGATAGATCTCTGAATGAATCTGTGATTCTGTGAGCAACTCAATCTGCCTGCCTGCTTTGCCTGATTTTGAGTAAAAGTTGCTCTGTTTTTAAATAAAAAATTCAATATTTATATAAATATTTATAACATTTACATACAAGCCATGCCCAGCCAGTCACATGACCACCAAGCCACACCCACAAATTAGGCCATGCCCACAGAACAGGTTAGTGGTCCCTGGGATCTAAAATTATGAGTTTGGTCGTCCCTGAGGTCCAAAAGGTTGGCGACTCCAGTCTTGAATGTAAAGAAATATTCTACTTGCAGCTCAATCCACGATTACTTATTCACCCAAATGATTTACTATTTGATTCTGAAATGATCAAAAGAATAACAAAGATATGGTATCTTTTAAGATTCCTAGAAAGTATTGGGAGAGGAGGGTGTCATATGTAGTTTGTTTTATGCATTCTTCTCTTCTATTTATTAAATTTGCATGCTTTTTACCTCACCATTGAGCAAGGAAGCTTATATACGTTATATTAACTATGCAAAAATGCTGAATAAATTTTTTTGCTATAAACAGAATGCAATTAAAAGCAATTCCCAAGAATTTTTTATCAGCTAATGGCAGTCTTCAAATATATATGGAGTTATCAGCAACCCGTTAGTACATGCCGGCAGCTCTATTTGGAAGATGACGTTTCACAGAGAAATGGGATGGTAATTTTAGAACAATAACAAAAAAAAGTTTGCTGAACAACAAGAAAAAGTTCAAGCTCCTACTTCATGACAGGATTTGATGACCTACATTGCAAGCACAGATTATGTTTATAATACTGAATATGCACATTCTTTATATTGCTGAATGTAAATAAAAAAATCTGCAGATTAACAGAAATGGCATATGTGGATGTATGACTATGAGAAGACAAGGAATTAGATGCATTAGTGAATTTAAAAAATATATCTATATTGAAAGGCAATTTTCTAAATTCAGAAAAATCATTTAGCAAAACTCTCCCAGAAGTATACTTTTCATGCTAGCATGAGATTGTACATCTGAACACTTCTCCATACACAATCTATATGACACTGCTAAAATAACAAAACAAAGCCTGAAAATAGATGGGAAGAAGAGTAAATTAGCCAAAGCACTAGTTTTTCAGAGGCAGAAGTTGTTTTACAAGGGAAAGTGCTCAAATATATGTGTTCCCATGCTTTGGAGTTCCAGTTTAAGACTGCAGATTATCTGTCTTTTAAAAAGATGTAATTCACCTCAAAATGTAGCACTTCAAATAAGTGTTACATAAATTAAAAATAATCTAGAGGGAAAAAGAAAGTGACATTGACAGCAGTGAAGATAGAAATAAATTAAGGGTATCAATTATATAGGATTTCAAATTTCCTTTGTGCTACCCTACAACAATAAAAAACATTCTTGGAATCTCTGCCATACCTTTTTCTTGACCTGGTCAACCTCAAAGAGTTGATATCAATCTTGTAAGCTTCTCTAAGCCTTATCGTATGCAAATAAAATCAAAGTTATTTTAAATTTATCATGCTTTCCTCTTTCTTAGGATTACATATGTTTCTGCAAGTCCCTTAGCTCACTTATTATTTCTCCCTATTGTCAATGTTGGGTCTACTTTCTTTTAAACAGGAGATCATGGCTCACAGCTTGAGAATTGCTGCCCAAGCAACATACTATTACCCAACTTAATAAGGCAAATACACACACACACACACACACACAGAGAGAGAGAGAGAGAGAGAGAGAGAGAGAGAGGGGAAGGAAAAAATAAAACAGGGGTAAGAAATTGGAAAGTAATGAATCCATTTTCTTTGCCTAGAAACAACAAGCAGCATTTTACGAAACATTCTTGGTCAAACTGTTGGACGGGTAAACCACACATATTTGTAACATTAGGGTGGAAGAAGAAGTCGCGGGAGGAGCTAACCAATGGTTTGTACCTTGTTCCAATGTCTAGCCAGCTTCCGTAATCTTTAACCAGAAAGAAGAAGTGCTGGGGGAGAAAAAAACATAACTATATTCAATACATGTACATTGCCCAATAAAAGTGACAAAATTGAAATGTATATTTGAAGTCAATTGTTCAGGACATATAAACCTATCTGCAAAAAGAAAAGAAAAGAAAGGCCAGTCTCCAAAAGATGGTATTTACAGTAAATAAAAACAAGTACATACTGTATGCCTGATTCACATTCACTAAGAAAGTGAATGGGTAGCAATCTGGTATAGTGGTTAAAGACTGTGAGTTCTAGTTCTGGCTTAGGCACAAAACCAGATTGGTGATTTTAGGCCGGTCGTTCTCTCTTAGCTCTAGGAAGGAGGCAAGGGCACATGTTTCTGAAATATTGCCAAAAAACCCTGCAGGACCAGTACAGACTATTGCTATAAGTGAAGACTGGTTTTAAAAACACACACTCCCATCTCCAAAAGGAAACTGAATACATTAATTTTGTATTTGGTTATGAACTCCTTGAGCCCAGACAGATATTTCCACAAATAGACAGCTGTTGCTAAGAGCAACCAACCTGTCTTTTCTTTATCATGTTTGCTAAAAATGACCCAAAGTGTAATCATGTCCGGCTTTTCCTTTCTATTTTGCTGGCTACTGCTTGCAGAGATGGGATGATTCTTACTGGAACAATCTCTCAACATCTGCTTCAGCCTTCTAAATGGTCTTTGGCTAGTCGCTTCTCTTTCAGCTTTAATTCCCTATAGCTGCATTAATGATCAACCTAAATGATACCATTACTGAAAAGCAGGCTTGCTGAAGAAGCCATAGAGATAGTGATTACAGTTTATTGTCTAAAAATTAGTGTAAATTTCCCCCCATCTCATGAATATGGCAAAGCAGTCTCCTCTTCACCATCAGCAGTTGTACTAGTAGAAGAGAAAGCAACGGAGATAAAAATAATTCTATTAACTTATTTCACCATTTGGCCAGATGGACAAAAGTTCTGATTCAGTTTAAGGTAGTTATCTAGTTATATTGCTACACAGCTATTACGTGTTTATCCATTTTAAAATGCTGACAAGTACAACTTAGGAGATGGCATTTAAGAGGATTCTACAGATTAGGTAGGAATACCTAATCAACCATAGTTGCTTCCAGAATAAAATAAGGTGGAATAACACCAGGAAATCCCATGTCTGTACGATATATTGAGAATTTGAAACAAACAAGCACACACATATACACACAGAGAAGGAAACGGCAAGACCTTTCTATATTGCTGCCAAGAAAACTACACAAATGTAGCCAAGAGTTAAGCTCAGTTTAAAAAGTTTTCACCTTTATTTTGGACTCAACAATAAGTAGCCTGGGATTTGCAAATATTTCCTCCTATTTATGAGATTTCCTGGACCAGTTCAATCAAAACAATTTAGTTATGGTGCGATAGAACAACAGCTGGTGTGTCATATTTAACTAATTCCACTGGGAGAAATAAGGGAACATAGATTTGAAAGCATAAACCTCTTCCACTGCTGTTCCAAAGACACCTCCCTTCTAGCCAAGTTGTGATATGTGTATACACTACAAGTATTGTATACACTTTAGGGTGAACATAGTTTTAAATTTTTTAAAATGCTATGTTTATTATAATTGTTTAACCTATTTGATGGATCTTCATCCACCCACCCAAATCTCCCACCATGTACAAAGATTGGCTTATTCAACCCATCCTGGGTGGTATTTCTCATTACATCTTGCTTGATAATTTAATATTTCCTTTGAAAAATGAAAGGAGACTCTTTTTTGTTCTGAAAGCAGGGAAGAAAATGATTTAAAAAATTAAAGTACGCATGCAGATGCATCTGGTATTTTCTTTTACTCAGACTTTAAAATTCTGTATGAAGTAGATGAAAACTTAGTAATAGCTAACTTAATGGCCCCATAAAAGAATTGAAGTAATAATACAGACTTACAACTTTTTTGATCATTCATTAAATTATTTCAAAGAATTATAGTGTGGAGAGAGGGCCTTTCTGCAATTTATGCAGGGTTTCAAAGTCAACTCACTGACCTAATTCAAGGAACTTTGATGTCTGAAGCTAATTCAGATATCCCTTGATTGAATTAGCAAAGCTCTCTGGGTTTTGATCTTATTTGTACAAAATGTCCAATAGTAGCTTACCAAAGCCATAATGTCTGAAATCACAAGAACAATGAGAAAAAGCCTAAGGGGGGAAAAACAAACAGTGTGTCAGAAAAGGACAATAATTCACAGTTCAATAAAGCTTCGAAGAACACAAGATGTGTTCTGAGGTACAGTGTAGTTCTCTTTTGATCTATTTTCTCAGTATTGCATGTCTTAAGAATACCAGAACCGCCATACTGCATGTTCAGAATCAAACATGGGGCAGGCAGGGAAACGAGCAGACTTAAAACAGGCTGATTTGTATGACTTGTCAAAATTAGACCCCTTTTTTTTTTACACTTAATGACTCCTCTACATAATTTATTATGTAACTGTTACCTACCTTTTTCAGGGACCTGACGGTCTCTTGATTGATGGAACCCTACTAAATTGTACAATTCAAGTTTCCAAAATTTCACAAAGATTTATGACGTTTATATTCCAATTCTTTCACAAGAAACACCAAATTACACCTGATTCTTCTCTTTCTCTTGGGCTATTTAATAACCGTGATAGTCATGATTCCCTAGTCTTAATTCAGAATTACAACCATTTTTCTCCATTTATTCAATATTATCTACTCATCCTTACAGACTAGAAATTGGCTTGTTTCTCAGGATGCTGTTTCTATGACGTACCCCACACAAAGAAGCTTTGCCCAACAATGCCCCTCTGCTGCACTTTCACATATCTCTGGACTACCAGATGTAGAATTGCACAGCTTGCAAACACAAATGTTTGTTGGGTTTCGTTCGTTCACTTAATAACTGAGGCAAAAAAGGTTGTAAAATGGGGCAAAACTCACAACAAACAACAGAAATTTTGGGCTCAATTGTGGTTGATGATGATGGGTTCTGCACAAGAACATTTACTAATATTTATCACTGTGTCTCAGTCATGAAGACCTAAAATGATGCCCACCAGGTTCAAAGATCATTGAGTATTTATTTCCCTTTCGCCTTAGGCTTAAGTTACCTGTATCTGAGGTACCCAAGACCATATTTGTTTGGGAAAGCACTTTTCAATGGAAAATAAAGGACAAGGAACAAGTAAATGCAAATACCACTGAAGACATTTGCATTATCATTATCTTTTCATTAAATAATTGAAATATTTTGAATGTGGATACTGTTCTAAATCACCAACAGTTTTACTCCAGAATTGTGCTAAAATGCTGCACGTAGCTGACCTAGTAGCTCAAAAAAGAAATGGGTCATTAACTGTAATAATTTAATTTGTAAGAATTATAAAAGTGCTATCAGTTAGAGTGTGAAAACTCATTAAAATGTGCTGCATTATGCCATTAATGCAAGATGATCACACAGCCTCTAACAAATTATATCTGGTCATATTATCAAGATCAGTTTTGTAAATTAACTTTACCTTAGAAGGCCATTAGAACAAGACAAAAAAAAAACATTTCATGCTAGCAGCTTACTTCTCTTTGCAAAACAGATAACTCAGCTGGATACCATCAAAATCACTGATGGAATCTGATCAGCAGTGAGGATCTGTGCCTCTCTTCTGCATAGATTTGACAGATGCACAGAACATCAAAATCAAAATCAATTTCTATTGATTGCACTAATAATGGCACTGAAATTTCTTGCTTTGGAATGTGGTAAGTTTCAGTTTTACAGCTAGGTTCAAACATTTACCTACTCAGCAGGAACAGCCACCGCACAGAGGGAGAGCTGATCTGCATTTTTCTTCTCCAAGACATAACTTAAATCATTGATGCAGACTCTCCACATGGAGGTATATGTATGCCAAACTGCAATTCTTCAGTCATTCAAACTACTCCCCTCTCTCTTTAGAGATGAGGAAAGAGAAGAATCCTATTAACTGGACAGTGATGTTCAAGTATTGTCCTCTGTATGCATTTGCCTGCAAAATATGTTACTTCATCAGTGTAGACGGGCATGCTTGCCTTAAACTCTGCATTTAAACTCTCATGAATGATTTAAAAACCCTACTTTGATAAGAAAAAACATTTCATTCTGTTATGTGTGAATTTTCAGCATTTGAGTGGAACTAAAAAGGTATCAATCCCTGTTCATTATGCAGAGACTGAAATCTTAACTTAATATGTGTATGTATGTGTATGCATATGTGTGTGTGTGTGTGTGTGTCTATATATATTGACACACATAAAGAGAAATCTAACAAAAACTGAATACTTTCTGAAGGGGGGAATACTCGGGAACTGTATCTAATGATGGAATTTACAAAGTAGCAGCCTACATGCAGTTTAATTTTTCCCCCATTACAAATCCAAAAACAACTTCTGATTCAGTAAGTGCACGCACAGAAAATCTTTACCTTTTAGATGATAGCTGGGTTGTGACTTGAATAGCTTCAAATGCACATGACACAAGAACAAAGGGGATTGCAATCTGTTCAATAAACACAATTCTGTTAAGCTGATGGCAGGTTCCCACAAAACAAAACAAAAAGAAAGGATGCCCAAATTAACATTGCTAATACTTAGAGAGCCAAAGATCACCAGGTTGAATGCAGAGACTGCAATATGTTCTTTTTTAACAGTTCAGTGTTGTTTAAGTTTAAACTAAACATTATTTTCAGTCAATGGCAAATATGGGCTGCTGCATTATGTTAAAACCTTTTTAAAAGGTTATTAAAATAAACAGACTACAAAATGACATTTTTTAAAATGAATTATCTACTTTCAAGGAACATTTTCCATATATATGCTAAGAAGCTGTTTAGTGATATGGAAAATCACTACTGGTAGACACATTCCTCTGTCCCAGAACAACCACCCGTGCTATTTTCATTGTGGAAACTTTGATAATTTCTGCTACAACAAATTCACAGAATACAATTTAAGATTGACTATATCCATTTTATATTATATTGACAGTATAAGATTTAAAGGATGGTATTCCTGAGTTCCATGCATTTTTTTTCTTTTTTTTCCAGAATGGCCTCATCTTATTTACTCTGGAAATTATGCTATGGGTGTTGAAGATAGATAGATGGAGGGAGGGAGGGAGGGAGAGATTTTCTTGAAATTACTACTACAAGTAACAGCAGCAAATACAGATCGATGTGAAGTATTGTGTATTTCTTTAGTAGCATTTTTTCCTACTTTCCTTCTTTTTTCTTTTCTTTCTTTCCCTTCATTTCTTCCTTCTTTTCGTTTCCTATCTATCTCTCTATATTAAATTTCTAAACACATATCTCCTGTACAAGATGACTCTCTGAGGTTTACAAATTGTCGAAACAAGTGAAAAATAATTAAAAGATTATTTGTTGGAAAGTGAACCTTACTAACTTTAAGGTATAGTGACAAGTGTACAGTAGAACTATAGCCTATCCTGGTAGTTTTGACCTTACTACATACATCTCATACATAGGTGGGACTTCCAGGTCGTGAAACCGGAAATGCCATGACATCACAGGCTGCCGAGACTCGGGAAGAGAAAGTAAGCCACTCCATCTTTGATGACGTCATGCAGGTGGGGTTTTACTTAACATAGTTGTGTAGTATGTCCTGTCACTTTCTGTGGTTTACTGATGTAGCACACCAGCAGATATTTTGGGGCACATAAATGTGTACAGTACAGCGGTTGAAAACCCCTGGCCTATCTAGTCTAATAAATAACATTTTGTATAAGAGACAATTACTGACCTTCCACAATAGCAAGCCTCCCATCAGGAAAGGGCTGAACACAGTCAAGAAGCAATATACCGAGGTTGGATCAAAGCTAGAGTTTAAGAATGAGAACAGAACAAAACATTATTGGTATGCATTTTTGTAGCCAATACTTTCCACAAGGAAACAGCAAACAGCATGTGTCCTTTGTCTCAATCACAAAAAATGTGACACTATTATGTAGCAAAAGAGATACGCTGCTAGTTTATACTGCTTCTACTTTTAGAGCTGAACTTTACTGTTTTAAGTCTACAAATGACAGCCTTCTACCTGTTACTTAAATATTTTTAAAGCCCCACAGATATCACAAAGTATTTCCTTATATCATTTCCTTTTCCACTGATAACTATCAGTCATTCCTAGATCTGTAAGTAAACAAGTGATACCTACAAAGGCACCTGGCACATAACCCACTCCTTGTAATGATTGGCTGCTAATTGTGAGCCAGCTTACTGGTTTTGTTGTTTTTTTCACATGGAAAGGATTATATTTAGGGCTCTCAGCATGATGTCCATAATCGGCAACAATACCATATTTGGTGTCCAAGTTTTGGCCCACTTGAATTTATACACCCACGTACATGTTTCTTTCATAAAGGCAGATTGTCAGCTTCCAGTATAAACTTTTACTTCCAAAAATAATACATGAGGGGAAAAAAATCTTAGCACAAAGAATTTTAGAAAACACACGTAGAGATGGTTGTACCCAAGTGCTCCATTAATGTCTCAAGACAAGGCTAACCTAGGTGGGAGAGAGCTTTGTGGGATAAGTACCATAAGGAGCATTCCAGTTAGATTTTCTTGTGTGGGTTTCTGATTGCCATACTTTGCAGAAGCAATTATTTTGTGAAGAGGTAAAGCTCTGATAAGCAGTTTTATTTATTTATCAAGAGCACAAATGACATGTTGAAATTCTGATTATGAGTGCGACACTGTGCATAAGCAACCATTTTGGCAACAGATAAGCCCCCTGATAAGCAGATCTATCTATCTATCTATCTATCTATCTATCTATCTATCTATCTATCTATCTATCTATCTATCTATCTCTCTCTATCTATCCATCCATCCATCCATCCATCCATCCATCCATCCATCAGCTAGTCGGAAATAGACTTTGTTACATAGCAAACTACAGGTAATCCTCAACCTACAACAGTTCAGTTAGTGACCGTTCAAAGTTACCACAGCACTGAAAAAAGTGATTTATGACTATTTTTCACCTTCACCATCGTTGCAGCATCCCCTGGTCATGTGATCAAAATTCAGGCATTTAGCAACTACCTCATATTTATGACAGTTGCAGTGTCCCGGGCTCATGGGATACCCTTTCGCAACCCTCTGACAAGCAGAGTCAATGAGGAAGCCAGATTCACTTAACAACCGTGTTACTAACTAAGAACTACAATGGTTCACTTAACAACTGTGGCAAGAAAAGTCATAAAATGGGGTAAAATTCACTTAATGACTCAGCATCAGAAATTTTCAGCTTAATTGTGGCCGTTGAGGACCACGTGTATATGCTACTCTATCCTGAGTATTTAAAGACAGAGAAAACAGCAAAAAGCACTTATACAATATCAGCTAGAGCTTTGAGTTAATAAGTTGGAACTCCTGCAATTCACAACTCACTTTCCCTCCCTCTATCCCAGATTGTTGGGATATTAGAGTATCCTGATGAAAGAGATGGAAAATGTTAAGTCTCCACCCCTCCCTCAGTAAGATAATGCATGCCAGGACAGAGCTTTCATCCAGATTTAAATTGTTCGTAAAAGATACTTGTACCAGCATCTAACCTGGTATTTAAAAAATGGAATGCTTTAGCTGAAAACTCTACCGTCTCTATCACCTAAACACACTTTCCTATTGGATGAAAGAAAAATCAGCTACCGTATTCTCCCCTTTACAAATGGAAGAAAATATTTGGCGAAATTCCCTAAGGATAGAGAAAATTTCTGATCCTGCATATTCTTTCCTCATCATGATTAATATAAAACATAAAACATTCCAGAATATGCAATATTGCACACAATTATAAAGGCATTTGCTTAAATTGTTTAGTGTAGAAACAAGTAAGCGGAACAGAATGGAGGGATTGTGATGGTTGCTTTTAACATCAGTTTAGATCAGTTTACCTGTTAATAGAAGCTATATTTCCTGTGCCGAAAAAGGCCGTCACTATGAAAAAAACCTGCATCAAGTTGAGGAAAATGCTATATTTTCAACAAGGTAACAAAGCATAATCATTTGCCACAACATTTTTTACAAAGGTTAGAATTTCCTGATATGGGAACTAACAAGTATATACATTGCAATTTTTTGAGTATGTACTCAAAATTATGACTTATAATATTCATCTGAGAACACCAGCCAGAATTGCAACTATTAATGAGATTAATATGGCAGCCAGCTCTTTACAGGCTACTAAATCCATATACATATATGAACGAAAAGCAAATCACTGCTTTGCATAGATATTTCATTTTTTGGTTGCTTTAAGATGAAATAGTTATTGAGACATTAGTTTATATGTGTGGCAAGAAGAGGAGGGAAGAATTCAAATTTCTTGTACCTGGAGGCCCCTGTTTATCTAAATAGACATTTGTCTCGATGTTAAATTACTAATAATTTAAAAAAATATTGTTGCCAGCCCATCTCTCGGGATAACTGAGGTTACACTCCATAGCAAATCTGGTGCACCAATTTCACTTGTTTCTAAATTTTAACACTGTATTGGGTCCGTATAATTTGAAACAAGTTCAATGGAACTAACAATAGCTGCAGGATGAAAAGATTCTTGACAAGTTACTATTCCAGTCATTCAGCTTTCACTGTCAAACAAGAAAAGCAAAACAAAACGGCCATCAGGTAGTTTCAACAAAGAAAAACAGGTCATGTCCAGAATGAGGTCTTGAAGGCCAGAAAGATTGGGGTCAGATGACCTGACAGTCTTTTGGAAACATAAAAGCTTGCATAATAATTCATGAGCAAAAAAATATACCAGCTGTTAACTGTTGAAAGCTTAATATATAGACATCTAGAATGCTATATATGTACTCATTTTATTAATTTGTTTGTTGACTGTTCCTGGGTTTTTTTCTTTTTCTTTTCTTTTTCTTCTGCCTTCAAATCAGTGTTGATTAAAAAAGAAATGAAATAAATATAAACTGATTTGTGACTTAAATAGCTTTTGTAATCTATAAATTTACCAAGCTTGTGAGCCTGTTAAATATGCAAGTTTATTCAAAACTTGTATAAACACTTTAACTTTAGATGTGAAACCTTTAATTTCATTTGAAACTAAATTCTGTATAGACTGTAAAAAAAAAACCCTGTAAAAACAGAATATTCTGTGGTAATATTAAATTTTGTTTAACTGTTATATCTTACAATATTTAATATTTTCTAAGCCCAAATAACTCTTTATATTAGCCTAAATGTTCTATTTTCAAGAATGTTTATGGACAATTAATAATTATTTAAAAAGGCAGACAGATTTTTGATTAATTCTTATAAGTACAAAAACCTAAATGCATGGAAAATAAGATTTGCTATTCTTATGCTTGAAGCTATATGAAGTTAATTGGTATCTAACACTTTCTAACTAATAAATCTATAGATTGACAATACTTAAAAAAAGTCAAAATGCCGTTGTTGTCAGACTGTTTTGTGATAGTAATTCAACCACAATCCTAAAATAAGTCTATCAAAATAACCTTTAAAACATTTAATCATTTAGGCAGTAACCTCCTAAAAGCAACTGTTTTTTAAACAAAATAATAGATTATTCTGTTAAAAAATAACAGATAATCAGAGTTGGAAGGGACCTTGTAGTCATCTAGTCCAAACCCCCCCCCCAGCTCAAGCGAGAGACCCTACACCATTTCTGACAAAATGGCAGTCCAATCTCTTCTTGAAAGTCTCAAGTGATGGCATTCCCACAACTTCCGAGGACAAGCGGTTCTATTGGTTGATTGTTCTCACTATCAGAAAGTTTCTCCTTATTTCCAGGTTATATCTCTCCTTATTCAGATTCCATCCATTACTCCTTGCCTGGCCTACAGGCGCTTTAGAAAATAGCTTGACCCCTTCCTCTCTGTGGCAGCCCCTCAAATATTGGAACACTGCTATAATGTCTCCCCTGGTTTTTCTCTTCACTAGACTATCCATGCCAGTTCCTGTAACTGTTCTTCATATGTTTTAGTCTCCAGTCCACTAATCATCCTGGTTGCTCTTTGTTAGGAATGTAAGTCACCTAACAGCTATTTGGGTGGGAAATATATAAACCAGGATAGACATTTTAATATTGTATCTTTTAAGAGCATGCAAAAACTGTAATTGGGTGTGGTTCCGCAAATGGCCGTAAGATGGAGCCAGAAACCTGGGTTGTTTAGTCTCAGAAGAGTCTCAGGAAGTCTCAGTGAAGTGAGTGAGTCTCCGTTTCCTTCTGTTGGAAAGAGTTGCCGTTCCTCCATTTTTCCTTCTTGACTGTTATTCTTGGATTTGATGTAAGTCTGTTACTGAACTGTTTTTGATACTGGACTTTGATATTGGAATTGTCCCTGAAATGAACACTGACTGATTTTCCTATGAATGACTTGGATTGCTTGTTTGGACTTTGCTTATACGTTTATTTGGAAGTAAAAACCTACATTTACTGTACAGTGTATCTGTGTGCTGTGTGCGTATTATTCAAATACTTCTCTCACTACGTCTCCCTGTATGCGCTCATTCTCCTAACGGGGAATTACCTCAACACTCTTCTCTGTACTTTTTCTAAAGTCTCAACATCTTTTTTATAGTGTGGTACCAAAACTGGATGTAGTATTCTAGGTGTGGTCTTACTAAGGCTTTAAAGAGTGGTATTAGTACGTCACATGATCTTGATTGTATCCCTCTGTTAATGCAATTTAGGATTGCATTAGCTTTTTTGGCTGCTGCTGCATACTGCTGGCTCATATTTAGCTGGTTGTCCACTAAGACTCCAAGATCCCTCTCACAGTTACGGCTATTGAGCCTAGTTTCACCCAGTCTATATGTGTACTTTTGTTTTTTCTTGCCTAAGTGTAGGACTTTACTTTTCTCTACATTGAATTTCATTTTGTTAGATACTTAATACTTTTGTTAGATATTTGATCACCTTCACTCTGCTCTAGCTGAGTATCTTTTCTCCTATGTCAAAGGATACAAAGAAAAAAGCCCTCCTGATGTCATCCACATGAAGTGGTCGAAACTGGGGTGTATCTGTAGTGTAAGAAAAGCTGAGAGCAGCAAGCTACAAAAACAGAAAAAGAGAAATCAGTAACATAGCATCAAGTAGGATTGCATTCATATTAAAAGTATATATCCCAGAGATCAAATGAAAAGTTAAAGAGTGATTCTTCAGAAAATCTACACAAAAACACTTCTTCTGCAACTTTGTCATATCTCAATTATTATTACAAAAAGTTACTTTTCAAATACTGGTAACTAGTCAACTGCATTGGTTGCCTCAAGAAAAGAAATAATACTCTGACCTATCCATTGGCTCTCTTGTTTTTTTTTAATCCAGAAAAAATGATTTTGCTTTCTAGCAGTATCCTCTAGACCTTTATGGAGCAAAGATATTGCAGTTTCATACTGAAAGTTAAACTTGTTTTGCTCTGATAGGCTTCTAGCATCTTTTGCCCACTGCTCTCACATGCCCTGGATTCAGAGGCTTCAATAAATAGAATCAGAAATAAAGAAAGGAGTTTAAAAATGCATCTTGTACATTTCCAGTTAACATGGAATCTTCAATGCAGAATGCAATCTACATTGTGCTGATACATCATTGCCCTCTCTGCTTTAATAACTCCAGACAAAGAGGCAGATATTAGCAGATTATTATGGAACAAGTTTTTATTATTCTAGTTCTAAATTACATAGCGACACACATAAAATGAGGCTGTTCTATCTTTCAACATGATGTCTTTCTATGTATTTGAAGTTGCCCATCATAGTTTCTTTTCTAAACATATTCAGCTCTTCCAAGCAATCTGTAGACTTTTTAAATCCTTCAACAATGACACCATCAAAGCAAACCTCTTTAACAGATTCTTTGGCTCAGTATTTGTAAACAGCAAGGATCAAGCCCAGTACTTCCTAGTCGAACCACAGACAACTACAATGACCTAATACATATCGATTTTACAGAAGACATTGTTGAAAAAGTACTGCGCAATCTAAAACCATCTCTATCTATTGGACCAGAGAGAATATGTGCCTACTTCTTAAAAAAGCTATCCACTGCCATAGCAGAACCTCTAAGCATAATCTTTGAAATATCTTTCAGGACCAGCTCCTTGGCAAAACTATGGTCACTAGCCACGGTCATCCCCCTCTTCAAAAAGGGAGACCCCAGCCTAGTTGAAAATTACAGACCAATCTCCTTATGTTGCGTCACCTGTAAAGTCATGGAATAAATTATTAACCAATCCATTATCCTCCACTTAGAGACAAAAAACCTACTCTCTAATAAACAATTTGGTTTCAGAACAAAAACTATCCTGTAATCTGCAACTCTTACACTGCAAAAACATATGGACTACACAACTTGATCAGGGCAAAGCAATAGACACAATCTACATAGACTTCTGTAAAGCCTTTGATTCAGTGGTACATGACAAACTACTCCTAAAACTAAAATCTTATGGTATCTCTGGACACCTACATAACTGGATAGAAGCATTCCTGTAAAACAGACAACAAATGGTCAAAATTGGGAGTGTTCTATCAAATTCTGTACCTGTCAACAGTGGTGTCCCCCAAGGCAGTGTTTTAGGACCATCTCTCTTCATACTCTATATAAATGACCTCTGTGATCATATTAAGAGCAACTGTGTTCTCTTCGCTGATGATGTAAAGTTATTCAACACCACAGACAATACTGCTACCCTTCAAAAAGATCTCGACTATGTATCAGAATGGTCAAAAAACTGGCAACTTCAAATCTCAACAAATAAATGCTCTGTCTTACATACTGGCAAAAAAATCAGAAAATAAAATACAAGCTAAATAGTCAAGACCTTGTTGAGGATCCAAACTCTGTCAAGGACCTTGGAGAACTCATCTCTAACTATCTAAATGTGAGAACCCACTGTGACTACATAGCCAAAAAGGCATTAAGAGTTGTTAATCTAATCCTACTTACCTTCTTCTCTGATAATATCACACTACTAACTAAAGCATACAAAACATTTGCTAGACCAATACTCAAATACAGCTCATCAGTTTGTAACCCATATCATGTATCTGATATTAACACAACTGAGAAAGTCCAGAAATATTTCACCAGAAGAGTTCTCCGCTCCTCTACTCATTGCAGAATGTCACCAGACTTGAAACTCTAGACCTGGAAAACCTAGAACTATGCTGCCTTCAGTCCGATCTAAATATAGTATATAAAATCATACATTGCAATGTCCTACCTGCAAATGAATACTTCAGCTTCAATCATAACAATACAAGAGAAAACAATAGATACAAACTCAAGGTTAACCACAACAAACTTGATTGCAGGAAATACGACTTCAGCAACAGAGTGGTCAATGTCTGGAATACTCTACCTGACTCTGTGGTTTCTTCCCCAAACCCCAAAAACCTTAACCTTAGACTGTCTACTATTGACCTCACCCCTTTCCTAAGAGCCCTGTAGGGGGCGTGCATAAGCGTACCAATCATGCCTACCGTCCCTGTCCTATTGTTTCTTTTTATTTTTCTTATAAGTATCCATCTCATGTATTCAAAACTATGTTTATTCTTATACCTGTATCTTGTAAGCGATTGACAAATCAAATCAATCAATCAATAAAATAAATAAATAAATAACATATATAATATATAGAGAAATAAAAAAGATAGCAATTAAAGTAAACTAAAAAAGCAAACTAGTAAAAAGATTTATATACTGTGCATTTAGTAACACTATAAAATTAATTCAATCCTTAAGCTTATAAATTAAGTATCAATCACAGAGAAACATATTGGTTCATCAATAATATCACTTCTTATAACATAGATACTACGGTTCCATCAATATAGCTTACGACTGCATTTGCTTGCTCAATAGCCATACTATATGGACAAGACTAGAGATGTGAGAAGAATGGTCAGATTTATATCATTCTTTGGACTGGGAAAAGGAAATAGAACCTGTATATGGCACTCTAGCGTTCATTTTTTACTCCCAGAGTAAAAAATGGGAGAGATGGGGAGGAAATTAGGGGCAAACAGATACAGTAAGTGACTGCAAGAACTATCATCATTCATTAAACCCTAAGAGTGGCCCCCAAAATGCCAACTTCCCTCAATCTGGTGAATATAATTGTATTAACAACAATGCCCTGCAACCATTAGTGTTCATAAATAAAAACGGGCCCTGGATATAAAAATATTGCCTGGACCGGACCATCTGACGATAGCCTTCAGATATTTTTCAAAAGAATTCCCATAAGTTCATGAAGACTGGGCTTATGGTCGGGGACTGGGAGTATTTTCAAAACATTCTAATGTTACCAGATCACTTAGCTCTGGTTTCCTCTGACTATAACTAGTCAGATTTGCCCTAGTGAAATACACACTGGCTTCTGGGAAATCTAGCCATCTCTTTGGCTACAGCTAATGAGTGTCTGTGAAACCGCTGGACTTCTCTTGTTTCTGCATTCTGTTTTAAAAATATGAGCACTGAAGTGGTTGGGATTCTGTGGCTACGCTCCCAGGCTCATGAGTCAGTTGGGATTTTAACTGCTGGGGGAAAAGGGTAGCAGCATTTTTTCCCGAGGTGTGTACTGAGTCATTTACCTTAGGTTTAAATGAAATTCCATACTGTTGGATTGTTTCTTGTTCCATGTCTATCCACACAAACATCAACAAAGCCAACGCCAGAGGGAAGAGAGCTTCATACCTACATCAGCACATATTTTGACAGCAAGTGAATATAAAGGAAATAGTCTAAGGTACTGATCTTATTTCTATCTAGATGTAATCATGCTTTTGTATAAGAAAGAATAACCAAGGGAGCATAGAGAAAGCTAGTAGCTGTTCTGAAGGGGAAAAAAAAACAAATCCAAGTGATGATACTTTATATCACTTATATTTAAAATAATTGGAAGACATGGAATTCGAGTTATTTCCAAGTGTGAACATGAAAATGCACCATACTTTGAAGTATTTATCTTATAGGATAAATGAAATAATATATTTGCAAAAATGTGACAATGTTCAATAAATTCTCACAACTGCATAACCTTCCCCAAATCCAAAGCAAATCTACACATACAGAATACAAGTAAAGATTATCTTGAATCAGATTAGATTTCCAGCCATCATACCGACAAATCCATGTAGTCTATTTTGCAACATTATGGAAGCAGTTTGCAATTGCCTTCTCCCATGACAATTTCCCAGTCTATCCAAGATGCCTAGAATTCTTGCTGGGCTTCCATCCAAATATTAACCAAGCCTGAACCAGCTTAGCTTCCAAGTTCAAACAAAGTGCTGCCATCTGTTGCATAGAATCATCAGGGCTCAAATTCAATTTAAGGGCAACTTTATCTTTTATGTTTTTAAAAAAGGGAAAAAAAATACCCGGTGCTAAGGAGAAGATAAGTTGACATCAGAGAAAGTAGTATGCTCAACAGCCTCAGGAACAGAAAAGTGGGACTCAGGAGTGGCACTATCAAGGATGAAACTGTAAGAAATAGAATATTATCTGTCAAACAAAAAATAGTTTAGTGTCTCTTTAACAGCATCCTAAATTTGAAAGCCATGTACCTGTAAACTATTGGCTAGTTTGCATTTGCATCCCTGGAAATTACAGGACTAAAACAGAGGAGCCAGAAGAAATTCACTTTCTATACCTTTTGATGAAACTGCATTGCAAATAGTTCATGCTGCGCACAAACTGTTTTGGGCAGTGAGTACAGCCATTCTGAATTTCAATCAGGAAGGGGATGCTAATTTGTGTTCATCATTTTCTTCCTCTTTAAGTGGCATTTGCATCAGGCAGTTTGGAAACTAAAAGTACAGAGGCCTGCAATGCTTGCTTCAAACCTGTGCTCTAATGCCGGATAAAGCACAAAAAAGGAGACAACTTAGAAGATTAAAAAAAAAAAAGAGGAGGAATGAATGAGCTAGAGTCATAAGACACCTGCCTCTTCTAGGTAGAATGGAAAGAAAACAAAGACCAGGATGAAGGGATAGCAAAGTGGACTGAAAGTTCTGTTCAATATAAGTTCTGCTTGGAACTTATATTGCTTTCCCACATATCAGCTGGTAAGTGAGGGAAGTACAGAGGCAAAACTTTCAAGATCTTTATTCATCTTGGCACACAGCACGAAGAACATCTGATCATGTTTCCACCAAGATCAATATTCGAAGGGAGATGGGACAGAACCTAGATCAAAGCAGTCAGGTGATGGGAGGTTCCTGACATCAAAAGACTAGGATTGTGCAACTGGAAAGAATCAGATGTCAAAGAGTTCACTCTGTGGCTGATTAATTATTTCTCAAGCCTTAGTTACAAAAACAGAGTGAATATTATATTTTCTTAGATTTGTTATCTACTTTCTTCAGGAGCTCACATCAGCATTTGTAGCATTCCTTCTTCTGTTTTTCCTCACAAAACCACCCAGTGAGATAAAGTAGGCTGAGGGAGAGTGAATGGCCTGAATTTTTTATTTTAAAAAATTATTTCCTTTAAAATGTAGAAATAAAGAATGACAAAATTCAGAATTCAAACCAAAAAAAGGAAGAAAATACAAAGAATAAACACACTGCAGATATAAAAAACAATTTAATTTTAAACACAGTTTTAAATATGATCAGTCCTTCCAGATACAGAATCAATTAATAAGCAAAAGGCAAAGACCTCCCACAACCCAAAACTCTGGGGTGATCCTAAACCCAGTCAGTTTCTATGGCTGGGGTTAGATTAGAACTGAGATCTGCCCAATTTTAGCCCTTCTTCATTGCCACCACACTGTATTTAAACCAAGGCTCTATAATTAATTATAAGGCTTGGAATTTGTATAACTGCCTTAATTCGTATGGACTAGACAGAAAGAAATCAGTCTTCTGAAAATGAAGATCAGATAAGAAACCACAGCCAGCCTTCCTATTTCTGAAGGAAGAAGAGCCAAGCAAGATAACATTCTTTCAAGGTAGATTTCAAAAACCACTGCTAATAGCTAGGCCACAATCAGATTGGGCTGCAGCAAATACAGGTAGTCTTCCACTTACAACCACAATTGAGCCCAAAATTTCTGTTGGTAAGTCAGGCATTCGCTAAGAGAATTATGCCCCATTTTATGACCGTTCTTACATCAGTTGTTAAGTGAATCATTGCAGTTGATAAGTTAGTAACTTGGTTGTTAAGTGAATCTGGCTTCCTCATTGACTTTGCTTGTCAGGTCGCAAAAGGGAATCACATGACCTTGGGACATAGCAACAGTCATAAATATGAATCAGTTGCAAAGCATCTTAATTTTGATCACATGATCATGGGGATGCTGCAAAGGTTATAACTGTGAACAACAGTTATAAGTCACTTTTTTCAGTGCTGCTGTAACTTTGAATGGTCACTAAATAAACTGCTGTAAGTCAAGGACTACCTGTACCTAAAATATACCACAGAAAATATAATTTTAAAAACAATTAGCAACAACAACAAATATCTTGTTGCCCATTACACTAAATAGCTCGCATGCTGATTTTAACTAAAAAAAAAATTCAGCAAGAGTTCAATCCAGCAAAATATTCTGGAAGGAGATACAGCAAGGAACAACGTATACTATTTAAGCGGGTGGGGTGTTTTGTTTTTGACTGCAACTTAGAACAGAAGGATACATTAAAATGTGTTTTTGACAAATTGTAGGGCCGGAATGAAGAAAAGCTGAAGTTACAGGTAGAACAAGGAAAAGGAAAAGGAAATTGCAACCCCAAGGAATAAGGATCTTGTACTTTAGATGAAATCCAAAATGTATTTGTTTTAAGTGTGAGAACAAATCTCTCACAAGGCCAACCCTGGCTTATAGCTGTTATGAAACTTCTTATACTTAACGTGCCTCTTCTAGGTTTGATCACTCTCCAAATGTCAGATCTGGCTCCTAGGGAACTGATGGACAAAAGGCAAACATTGGGAAGGGCAGAGAGAACAGCAGCCAGCTTGAAGTGGCAAGAATGAGCTTTCAAAACAAACAAGCCTGACCTGCAGAGTCTTTATGAAGATCAGGATTGTCTACCCTTAACTGGCAGCAGCAGGCAAAAGCAGAAACCTCATGCACTACAATCACATGTAAGAACAAGTATCAGGAAGCTCTGGCTTACAGAAACTTGGAAAATCCCCAGTTCAAATTCATATAATTTTCGAGTGCAGGGGGTGGACAGGTGGGAATTGTTAAGGCACAGCCTTACTTTGAGGAATGAATGCTTTATGTTTATTAGTGATCCTCTTTTGTTGAGGAATGAATGGATTGCTCATAAGCTATTGGCATCTGCCTGACTCTATTGCTATATGCAGCACTTAACAGAACAGATTTAGAGCATAGTGCATGTGGGTGTCCTCAGCCCTGTTCTGTTTGCAACAACCTTATCTGGAAAATTAGGTGAGAGCTTGTGAACTTCATAACCGAGAAGAGATGGACACTTATTCAACACTAATATATTATTATTTGTCCATATTTAGAGCAGTTCTTTGGAAGTTTATGCAGTGTCTTTTTTTCCCTTAAATTACTATTTCTTTCCAATAAGAGAATTAAACGGAGGGATTCACGCCCCCAATATGCTTCGTTAGCTGCTTTCTCAATTCTTTGCAACTACTATATAGTTCCAGGATCAATAATAGTAGTAAACTTAGTCCCTTAATCCACTGCTGCTTATGTTGAACCCACTCAGCACTTGACCGCTAATTAATGCAATCTCTCATCTACTTCAAAATAAATATTCTGCATAGTGTGTTGAATCTGCTTGCATTATTGGAGGATGCATATGGATTCCTGTACTTATGTAATTAGAAATCTTTATCAGAGTATAATCATGTTTTTCAATGGCAGAACATGTGCAGCAATAGCAGAAAGACCAGCAAACCAGCATTTCTTATATGTACCTGACAGATCTTTATCCAAAATAATCTCTGTCGAGAGAGGTAGGCTTACCCAATGTCATCCAGCTGATAACTTGATTTATTATAGGCAATCCTTGTTTGCTCTGAAGACTGCTATGAGTACTGTTCACAATGTATGTTGATGCCACCAGACTCAGCAACTAATAACAAAATAAAATTATCAATAGCTCATCGGAAGAGTTTTACTTTATTGCAGTCATTAAGGAATGCTAGCAAGGCAAAAAAAAATGGCTATTCAAACTAGACTAGGTCTTTAAAAGAAAAACCTGGAATGTTAGCACTTTTGTAAGAATTATAATCAACTTCAATTGGCGATTTAAATAAAAAGAAACTGAGTACAAAGGGAGTGGTAGAGAAACCTTCAAAATCACTCACTGCTTAAAATTTCGTTTGATAACATTATTCGTTAAGATATTGTATAACCCCATTGTATTTTGGATATCACCATAAATGCATTCAGGAACTGCCAGAGCAAACTGTTGGTTTGTACTTGCATAACTGCATTTCATGCTTGATTGACTGAATAAATAAGAGAAAAAAGCAGGGAGGGGAAAGGGGGGGGAAGCTTTCAACGAAGTTTGTTTAAAAGGGAGATTTGTCAATAGGAATCCATTTCAGAGTTACAGATTAGAGAAGTAATTAGAGGAGGTCATCAAGCAAGTGCTATTTGGCATCAAGTTTTATGTTGGTTTATTGAACTTTGCCTGATGTGTCATCATCAGTGACAGTTCATAGAAGACATAAGTTGCCAGGCTGCCTGTCATTTTTCCCACTGTTCCTATGTGAGATCATTTGGACTTTGAACTCAAATATGAATAAAATGGCATAACGTTCGTATTTTAGCTCTATTAAAAACAGTGTATGCATGATGCAAAATCAATCTCTCTCTATATCTCTCTCTATATAAAAAAAAGGAATCCAGCATTAAAATAATTCATTGTTATAAAGCAATTTCCTTACATAAAAGTAAGAGGAGTGAACCAAATAAAAGGTACAATAAATTGGCGCCAGTTATGCCAAGCATAATAGGAAAGTAAAGCCAGTTTCTTAATGTGTTTAGAAAGGACCGCAAAATAATGGTACAGAAGCAGTTATGTTTCATCTGTATAAGGACAAAAAACAACCCTACTGATCTCTCCTAACAACAGCTAATCTTGAGTTAAAACCATTCGTTTACTGACCATTCAAAGTTACAGAGGCACTAAAAAAGCAACTTATGAACATTTTTCACACTTATGACCCTTGCAACAATCTTATGGTCACATGATCAGAATTAAGATACTTGGCAACTGCCTCGTGTTTATGACAGCTGCAGTGTCCCAGGGTCATGTGATCCCCTTTTGCGACCTTCTGAAGAGCAGAGTCAAGGGGAAAGCCAGATTCACTTAACAACCATGTTACTATTTTAACAACTGCAGTGATTCACTGAACAACTGTGGCAAGAAAGGTCGTGAAAGGAAGCAAAACTCACTTCACAACTGTTTCCTTTAGCAACAGAAATTTTGGGCTCAATTGTGGTCATAAATCAAGGACTACCTGTATCAGATTTTTTTTTACCAGAGGCCTTCTGGGGAGATAAGGAGTTCATGTAGGATGATTTTGGGTTAACCCAAGGCTCTTATAAAATGAAATTATATGATTCCCAATTTTTTAAAATAATAGTACACTTTTGTAATTTGTTTTGGGCTAATCTAAGGTGATTAAAGATTAAAGTATATGATTTCCAAGAAAAGAAATAGTACTTTTTTGTAATGTTTCAAACCTTTACACTGTGATGCAAGAATTGAAATAATGTGAGGGAAAAAAATCCAATATCTAATTCCAAGACTATATTAAAACCACACAATGACAATTCTTTATATATTTTAATTTGGATTAGTTTCTCTCAATTTCTTCATTTATCTTAAATTTACAGTGACATCTACTGGACATGTTTTAATCTTTCAGATGAAGCTTAGCAAATCCCTTTTTCCTAGGATTGTTTGACATCAAGTCACAGACTGTTTTGTGAGAAAATCTGTTTATACACCTGGCTCCCCCAGCTAGTGATGCTCCATTTTGGAGAACTATCTTGGAGGTAACATGTGAGTGAAGACCACAACTCCAGCAATGTTGTGTGAGGGAGTCTGCATGAGTAGATGATGGGAATTGAGGGCAAGTTTCCCTACTGATTTTATTGGTGTTTTGCTTGGTATCTTGAATAATGAGTTTATTAAATTGGTCAACATAAATTCTCCTAAACACTCAATCCAACCTGTTTCAAAACTGATTCTATGACTAATTCATGACTAAAGCTCAGAGTCAGAGACTGTGGGGAGGTTGGAGAATAATAAAAAGAATATTAAACATGAGCAATCAATGTTTGGGGAGGGAACACACTGATAGCTTATCCAAGATATTAAGTCCAAGTCCAGACACTTGGAGGAAATGATTCAGACTGTTCTGAAAGTCTCCGTCTTAATGAAGTTACTAATAAATGAGGTTTGGAAGCTTCTGGCTGTTTCTAAGATTCTGTATTTAAACCTAATTCTAGCATCATTATGGTGAAGGGTTCTCCACTTGTCCTAAAGAGTACTACCTCTGAAGGATTCCATGTCTTAAAAGTATATATAAAAGTATATGAAGAATTCATTTTGTTCGTTGGAATTGCTGGCTAGTGAGCAGATTTTTTTTAATGTAAATTTAAAAAGTAATTGAAATAACTGAAAAGCAGTTGGTTAAAATTGATGTTGCCCCCAAAATATACAAAAGCTAATTTTTCAAAGCAACAAAAGTTATACTTCTCAACAATGCACATTTATAGAACTTGCTTACCTGAAATAGATATATTTGGAGATCTTTATGATGCAAATATTTATTTTTGCTCCTCCGAAAAAATGTCACTAGGTAGGACAAAGCTATCAATATAATTAGCAGGCCAGCTGCTGTTCTGTAAAAGATAAACTATTTGTGAGTGCTTTTCAAAATATTTCTGTTGGAATCATTTCATAAAAAATTAAATTAACCACAAAAGCGCAACTATGTAACATGAATAAGACATTAATCTAAGCTCCAAGGAGTCAAAAAGAAGGTTCAAAACTGACGAATCTATTAAGGCTGATCTTCTTTCCTATCACAATTCAATATTACCTGGAATCATTTGTGTGTGAGTTGGGTGACCATATAAATTTGTTTACTATATAAATAAAAAACAAATACAGCAAGCTTTCAAATTTGCATTCAGTTTATTGCTAGTAGCTGCCCTTAAATAATCAGTTAATTATTTTGGTTAAAAAAAAAAGCTAATACTGTTCCATTGCTGCTGGTGCCTTTTAAAACTCTGACCAACACTTTTCTAAACCATTGACTCTAAAAAAAACATTAAGAAGGTTGGATTTACTTCAGGACTTCCTGTTTGGGCTTCTTCGGCGACGGACCGAAATCGCGATCGTCTGCAATTTTGATCCGTGCTCGCCGCTGGAGCGCCCTGAGCTGCCTGGATTTGGGGCTGAAGCCACCCTGTAGAGGTGGTGAAGAAGGGGGAGCCATCAGTGGGGTTGAGGAGAGCCGCATCTCTCCTCCTTGGCTGGCCGTTACTCCCTTTCCCAAAGGCGGTTGCAGCGGTGGTCAGAAATGGCCACTTCAAAGAAGAACCCAACTGGACAAGATTGTGCAGGAGGAACTTTAAAGGAGAAAGTTTGACTGGCCCGGTTGAATGGAGAACATCTATTTAAGGTACCTGAAACTTGAATTTTAAAGACTAACATCATTCCTAAAAAAGATTGTAAGCTGTGAAAGAGAAAGGGAAAGGAAATGGAATTGGCTTTTTTTCCTCTAACATTGACAGTTTTAATTGACTTGGAACATTAAGAAGAAGAGATTTGAATAAGAAATTGATACTAATCCACTTTGACATTAATAGGCTATTCTTAGATGAAAATAAAGTGTCAAAGGGATAAAGATTCTTGGATAATTTAAAAACTTTCTTTACAAAAAAAGAAAGATAGTAGCGGAGGGAAAAAGGAAAAAAGAGGGTGGAATCTGGAAAATGGAGGAGACCACGTGGAACTTAAAAAAAAATTGATAGTGGAATTTTAACAAGGCTTGCAAAAGATACATTGTAGCTGAAACTTGGTTACAAGAGAACAAAGCCCCTGGAAAGAGAAAGTGAGAAAAGAAGCAAGAAACAGTTTTGGATTATTGGATGATTCCTGGAACTTTGGATGGAGTATCCTAATGAAATAAAATAAAATCAACTGGGGGTTATTTAACATTTTTAAAAAATGGCATCACTCCTTGAAGAGTTAAAAATGAGACTTAAAGAAGAAGAATAAGAAGCACGAGATGGAGGAGGATCTTTTGGCTTCGTATTTCAATTTTTAGAAATGGAGATCTTAAACTATAAAAACAACAAGAAATGCTGGAAGAACAAGAAGGGCGGGATAACGAAGAAACCATCTTCAATGACCAAGCAATTTTAAGTGGGGTAAAAAAGGGAAAGGGGGGAAAGGGAGTTAAAAATTTAAGTACTGAAGCAACAACCAAAAAAAAAAAGAGTAATTTGAAAAGTAATCATAATATCAGGAAGAAGCAGAAGGGAGGATCACATAAGGGAGAATCAGATAGAAAAGGGAATAAAAATGGGAGGGAGAAGAAGAGAGAGAAGAGGGAAAGGAAAACAAGCTACAAAAGACAGAAACAAGATATAGAGGTACAGGAAAAGCGTACAAGAATTAAAGGTATAAACCTATTTAAAAGACACAGAGACAATGGTTAAACCTTAACTTGAAAGGATTCTGCAAAGGTGCATGGGATAGCATTGTTATATAATATGTTAGATGATTATGGTGATAGAAAAAATTTCTATTGATGTGTAGTGGAATATTTGTTTGTAAAGAGAATAAGGCTCTCAATGATTTAAAAAGAACGTCTAAAAAAAACTGAAAAGAAACATGGAAAATTTTTATCAGTTGATAAGGTGAACTTGAATAACAATAATAACTTCATTGACTACCATTAATAACTATTGTTTGGTTTTTTATTTAAAGACAGTAATAAATAAAATATGAAATATACATGATTAAAGTGAAAGACAACTGATATCACTAGTAATGCTTGTTAAAAGAAATAGAAATGTAAAAGTGTTATTAATATTAATGGCAGAGCTGTACTTGAATAGAATAATTATTCCATTTACTATCGTTATACATAGATATATATACATATTTTTTTTCTTTTAAGAATTTAGTGTGTATTTTAAGGGAATGTACCAAGCAGAATTTGATTGAAAATAGGTATGTGTTATAAAATAGAGGTTAAAAAATGAATGTTATAACTGTAATGATGTAACTTAAATTTTTAAATAAGATTTGAAAAAAGATACGAAGGTGTTACACTCTAGTCTAGTAATTACAGGTGAAAATTTGTTTTAAGAGAAAAGATAATATAAAATTGGAAACAGGACAGACGAAAGTATAAAAACATTGATTAGAAAGATTTTAAAAATTAGAAAAAGATATGTAATTGAATTAAGAAAGGAATGAGATAATTTAAAATAAGGCTATAGGAAGTAAAGAAAGGGAAAAGCTATTGAAAAAATTGTGAAAATAGTTATAAGATATGAATTAGAGTGTATAAGATAAATATGTATTGAGTTCATGTCTGTATGGAGAAGTGATAACCCGGGGCCATGCTGTTCTCAAAAAAAGATATTTTATTTGTATTCGTATGCTTTGTGAAAACTTAAATAAAACTTTTATTTTAAAAAAAAAGGTTAGATTTACTTCAGAATGGATTCTTGGTGCTCTTTTAAAAAAAAACTGTCACCAAGATCCATTCTTATATTTATTTATTTGTATCCCACCCTTATTATTTTTTAAAATTATTCCAGGCAGTGAACATATCTAACACACCTTCCTCCTCCTATTTTCTCCACAAAAACCCATGAATGTATTGGGCTGAGAGTGACTGGCCTAAATTCACCCAGCTGACTTCCATGGTTGGCCAAGGTAGGACTTTGAACTCTCGTTTCCCACTTTCTAATTTGGTGTTTCAACCACTAGATAATAGATCAGATAATGGAATATCCCTAAAAAGATTTCCATGGTATTTGGAGTTTTAAGTTTCCTGCATCTATTTTACAGGATAGTACATGCTTTTCATTTAAAAATAACATCGGTGGTGTTTTCTTTGCTGCTTCATACTTGTTCTTTCTCTTCCATTTCTCAATTTCTATCTGATCCTATTACAGTCTGCTGCTGAAAGTGAACCAAATAAACTGCCCTCTGGGTCAGCATGTGATACATGGATCCAGCATGTGACTAGAGACTCATCACTTCTTTACATCTGTTCTGAGGATGTAAGAGGCTTATGTGTAAACTTCTAGATCCATTTTTGTTCACATTTTTTAAAAATCGGTTTTCACTGATAAAAGGGAAGCTCGAAAATAAGAGAAAAATAAGACACCATGGGTGTCAAACTCGTGCCCCATGGGTTGGATGTGTCATGTGCTGGCCATACCCAGCCCTATTTTAGCAAAGGGGGAAAATCACAATACGTGATGTGACAACAATGTGAGGCTGCGAGTTTGACACCCCTGGTCTACACTATAATTTTTATAGCCTATCTAAAGTAGAAATCACAAGAAAATTATAATCTTCAGTTTGAAACAAGAATAAGGATCATCAGAATTATTGTTCCAAAAGAATAACTTTACAAACACACTATTTTAGAATATCCTTCTTTGAAGAAGAGAATGTGAAGCATTCTGATAATGAGGTTCGCATCTGAGAACTTCAAAAACTTATATCAATAATTGCCTCTTTCCCCACTATCATAATTATGTGACTTTAATTTTGGGTTTCAAGAATAAATCACTTGCATTCCAATAACTTATTTCCCTTCTAGACACAAGAATTAGATTAGAACATGATTACATGAATGTGGTAATATGAAGAAAGCTGATTCATACTTACACTAAAGAGACATTTGATTCTCTTCCTATCACAGGCATCAAGGGAAAGATTGCCAGGAGTAAACACGAGAGAATCCATCTTAGCACTGTTGCCTATGGTAAAAAACAAGTAAGTTACACATACAAATAGAAGTATAATGTTTAAATATTAATGTATGTAAGAAGCATTTCAACTAAAGTTATATAAATTTCTGCCTAAAACTATATGAATTCAAAATGTAAATTTCTGGTGTTTGGGAATGTATATAAAATTTCAATATTACTTGAAAGAATCACTGTAAGATAGCGTAGTGTAAAGTGCAGGGCAGGGTATTCGGCAGGCCAGATAACAAGAGTAAGTTGTCACCCATACTACAAGGAGGTCAAAATGTGGAAATAACTGCCATTAATACCTGTGTGATATAGCTCTGTGCAAAATGAGATGGTATAGTCTACAAAAATATGCTAAACTCTTCCCTACTGATCTGACATAGAAGTATTTCAGAATATCTCTAAGTTGTATTGCACTATTAATAATTTCACTGAATTTAGATAACAGATTAACAGAGTTGGAAGGGATCTTATAGGTCTACCACCCGCCACCCACCCAAGCAGGAGAGCCTATACCATTTCTGACAAATGGCAATCCAGTCTATTTTTGAAAGCCTCCAGTGATGAAGCTCCCACAATGATTGTCTCAAACTGAATTACATTTCAGCACCCCTCCATATTTTCTTCTTTACTGCATTTTTCACTGTTTTACAAGTTCAGATAAAAGCTAACTTCAGCTGAACTCAAAAAAAAACCCCAAAAAAGAAAACCAGTATCAGAGCATTATAAAGCGGTATATAAATCTAAGTGCTATTGCTATTGCTATATTAGTACTTGAATAAGAAATCATAAATAAATCCCAGGATGATAGGCCTTAAACTTGGAAGTCAAAACAAACATTTGAAAAAGTTATACTTCCGTCTGTTGTTAGGAAAGTTACACAGTCACTGAGACTTGAATGTGACTTAAAGAAGTCTTTACTTTTTCTTCAAATAACTTAGGCCGTTGTACAGGGGATCTTCGATTTACCACTATTCATTTCATAATCATTCGAAATTACAGTAGTGCTGAAAAAAATGACTTATATCCAGTCTTTGCACTTATGACTGTTTCAGCCTCCCTGCAGTCACATGATCAAAATTCATACACTTGGCAATTAGCATATATTTATGATGATTGCAATGTCCTGAGGTTATGTGATTACCAACTGAAACCTACCCAGGGACTTCAATCAAGCAAATTCAATGGGAAAAGTTGAATTTGCTTAATGACTGAATAAAAAAAAGGTTGCAAAATCAGGTGCATTTAATGATCCTAGTTCTGATTGGGATAGGAAGTCGAGGATTATCTTTATATTAATACTATAATGCAGCATAATATTATCACCAAATAGAAAGTCACTACGTGGCCCTGGTTCCCTGAGTAAGGATAATAACTAAACAGGAATTTGTACACAAACTATTACACTACACCAAGCTGCTTTCTATTCTTAATCTGGCCTGGTATTAGTATAGGTAGTCTTTGACTTACAACAATTGAGCCCAAAATTTCTGTTGCTAAGCAAGCAAAATTAATTTTGATCCAATTTAAGACCTTTCCTGCCACAGTTGTTAAGTGAATCACTGCAGTTGTTAAATTAGTTATATATTTCTCAAGGGAATCTGGCTTCCCCGCTGATTTTGTTTGTCAGGTAGCAAAAGGGGATCAGAGCAGCTCGTTGGAGAAATGAATCAGTTATCAAGCATCTGAATTTTGATCATGTGACGATGGGGACCCTTCAATGATGGTGTGATGAATGGACATAAGTTACTTTTTCAAGTGCTGTTGCAACTTCAAATAGTCACTAAATGAACTGTTACAAGTCAAGGACTATGGCTGCAGAAGCATCCACCCATTACTAACTTAAACTTATCTTTAGCATTTGGATTGCTTTAAGCATAGATTGTTTCACAGAAAGCCACTCTCATTTAAAATTAGACTTCAGCATAAGATTTCCAAAATAGTATATCTAGCTTGCAAAGAAGGTAACTAACTATGGCTAGCAATACTAAAAAAAATTGACTCTTCCAGATACCTTTTTAATTTAAATAACACACTCATGAACGTTACATGGAAGTGTGCATTTCTGTGGGGCACTGGCCATAACTGGTCTAGCAAATCTCCCTATGCAGAAAATACCTTTGCTTGGATCCACAGTCGAATGACCACAGGCCACACAGAAAAGACAATCAGGCCAAAAGTGAGAGTGGAGCGATAGAAGAAGGAGAAAACCTAATTCACACAAACATATACAAATGGAGAAAAAAATAGATAAGGTAAAGAATTGATATTCTCCTCAGAAACAAAATTTCACCATAATTCTTAATTTCTCAAAAAATATTTTTATTTGATCCTTCTGTTATTTCATTGTGTGCTTTTATTCTAATCATCAGTATCTTTAAAAATTATACACAAATAATATTAAAAGGCTATTAGCCAAATTACTTACTAATATTTCAATCCCCACGGCATATATTACTAGGAATCCAGAAAATTGAGCCCGCTGAACATTCAAGAGAAATCTGATCAATACATGGATAACAGGGTATCTAGAGGAAAATATTACGCTAAATAAATTTCTTACTAGACCAAAAGCTACATAAAAATAAGAAATAAAAGTGAAGCAACATTTCCCAATTAAGAGGGATGGTATATTCTAGCATAACCAAAGGTCGCTAGATTGGGAAGATTGAATTAAAACACAAACATGAACTAATTTCTCCAAAGTAGTTAAATTCAAACTATCTGTCAGTAATATCTGCTTTATCTATGCTAAAGATTCCCAACTTTCTGGTTTATGGTGCCCCCTGGTGTTTCAATAATTTTTTGACAGCGTCTCTAGTGGCTCTCAAACTTTGTGCTATGGCATCTGAGAGCACCACTGTGAACTCGTTACTAGTTCGGTTTCTTAAATAGTAAAATACCCTGTGAATCCCAAGGTAGAATAATGTCCTGTCTGGCAACCATAGATATATTCCAGCAGTATTCACAAGAGTACATTTCATAAAATTAAAACACAACTGAATAAGTCTGCTTGTCACAGAATGCACTAAAGACACTCTTTCCTAAAATGAGTCTAGAAAAAAAATGCAATTACTCTTACTTTGCTGCACATACTGAAGTAAAGTCAGCATCCCTAACTGTTGAAAGACTCAAGATCAGATGTTGTTGATCTACCAGTCTACCTTCCTGCTACTTCAGATGTCAACCATCCCTTTCTTTCATTTTCTTGCTAGTAAAAGTCCATGTGAATCTACTATAAATATGCATTTTTAAAACCTCACACAGAAACCCTGGCATCCATCATTTCACCTTTAGAAAGCAATGTGAAGTGTTTTAGAAAAGCACTAAATGAAATGAGAAAACCCAAATAGCTTCAAATCCAGGAACATGGATACATTCTCCCCCTTTACACACACTTACACAGACATACACACACACAAACATATACAGGAGGGACGGAGAGACAGACAGAAACAGAGAGAGACAGACATTAATTTATTTTTAAAACCTTACTCTTTTAAAACTGCATACCATACAGGGACTGGTAATAGGCAATATATGTAGTAGGTCCAAGGCAAGCTTTGAATGAAGAGAAACAAGGCTATCAAAACTCCAATAGCTGCAAACCCATATTGGAAAAACTTATCAGGCACCTGAAAATAGAAATGTTAATGATATTTGATTATTGTAACATTGTAAATATCTATTTAAACATCTCCAAATATTCACCAAGTTTTGCAATATACAGCAAATATTAAAAGCATCTCAGTGTAGTCCATGCCAGGACCATTACTTTTTGGCAGCAGGCCCCAGTTACCATTTATCTACCTGCTCTTAGATGCAAATCAGAAGATTCACCAAGATTATTTTCTCTGCAAGGTCTTTTCCACAGCAAAATCTGTTTACTTCTACCATACAGAAATAAGAGTAAAGTTCTTCCACTAATACAAACATAAATTTATCCCTAAACTCCTCAAGTAAAGGGGACTATCAAATACATGCTCACATGTGGACACTCGTATTCAAAACATATATTTTCATCAGAATTAATGAAATTCTTTTTGGATATTTTTTTATAAATACAGTTTTGTCCCCGAAGCAATGATGGTGATGACCCTCTATAGCCATCCAAATGTTGAACTATGGACAGTATAACAAGATTGTTGTGAGCTCTAATTCAGCAATCTCTGGAGATTTCCCATGTCTGATCTAAATATTCAATAGGTTACAAAATGTAATCCAATTTGCAACATATTTTAAGGAAACCTAAAAAGGAACTTCTTTCCAAAATTTCCATTTTTAAAAACATTTTATACGTTTTTCTATAACGAAGGCATATGCCAAAAATTCCAGTGCTAAATTTTTGTAGACAAAATAGATTTATTTATGCAATAATCTAATATGCAAGGCAAATCAAAAATGTACCTTATTTTTTGTTATACCACTGGTCATGCTTGTATCTGATTTTATTATAATCAGAATCACATAAAATGTCCAGCCTACAAAACCCATGGTGATACTCAAGCCAAGGAAAAATCTGTCATATGTATGGTAATAAGAGAGCCCATCTAAAGCAAGATTAATCAGCTTTCTACAAAGGGATATCTGAAAAAGAAAAAACAAACAAACAGCAAACAAAGATTTTAATTTTAGCTGCAGGAGATTGGTATACAGGAATTCTTCTCCATGAGCATGATTTTGTTAGATCTTTAATATTGCTTTAATCACTTGATTTATTTTTGCATACCGCAAGATTTACTGTAAATGAAAACTGTTTCGCTTAACCACTGAATTGTCAGTCCCAATTGTGGTCACTAAACAAAGACTATCCATAACAAGTCAAGGGGAATTCTTATAAATGTTAAAGAAGACCTACTATGACAGATTCAGAGTGTAGCCAATTAAATTCTATTGCTCTTAACACAGAATTACACTATTGTAATTCTGTGTTAAAGGCAATAGAATTTAAGGGCAAAGCTTTTCAGAATGAAGGACAGATGCTTTTATAAGACTATCTGAGATGAGATTCAAATGTATGCTCACATATTAGAAAAGTATAATTACACCATTAGATAATGAACCAAAAAGAAAAATATCATTAAGCATCAAAAACATCATTAAGCATCATGTAGCATCATTAAGCTATAAATATAACAAATATATTTTAAAATTATCATACATAAATCCAAAGGAAATAGGTTCTAATAGGAGTTACTTACAGATTCCTCATATTTCTCATGTTGAATAGATATCCTTGTTTTTCTCAGAATATCAATTTGCTCTGATTCAGAGAGAGACCTGTGCAAGACAGAATATTTTAATATATCAGTTTGATTACTCTTTTGGGAAAGAGGGAATAAATAGCACTACTATATTCTTTTAAAAGCAATCAATTGAACCAGTTTGCAGTATTTTTACTGATAAATCAGTTTCTAGTAAATACATATTTATCAGTAATTACTTTTGATCAAAAATTGAAATATCTCTGAAGTACTTTTAGCAAGAGATTTGATACAGCCCAAACAAAAATTTCTGGATAAATTAAAGAGCCTGAAGGGTCTGTTCAAGAATCAAGTTTTACAAAAACAAAGTATATAAAACTGAACATTATGCAGCATATTATTTTATAGAGCTGAATGTCTTATTAGTAATTGCATATATTAATATTAAGAATATTATTAAACTGGATCATTGTAACTAATGCTAACCAGATCTTTCATCTGAACTTATATGCAATGGCCATAGCCTTTAAAACTGGCTTAACAACTCTGCTGAATAGAAGCTGCTTAGTTTTCAAATTATAAGTTACAATGTGTGGACAATTAATTACAAGATTAAACAACAGTGTTAGTTGTGCAATGCTTTGTAAATTGTCCCTTATGAGATGCAATGGATTCCTATGAAGAGCATAACTGATAAAATTATTATTATTTCTATTACACAATTGTCTTCTATTAGAAAAAAATCTTTATAGTCCAGAACTCAAATCTGCAATACAATATATCATTATGATAAACTCAAGAAATTTCATCCAATCTATGTCTGCCATCACTATTTTTAGATGCACTATTTCTACATTTTCATGCCCATAATTGCAAACAATTTGCTAATACAATGAATTTGACAGCATAATTTCTTGCTATTGCTTGCTATTTTAAATTTTTTGTATGTTTGGTTTTTTAGGATTAAGCCACATGGCTCCATGCGGTTTCATGTCACAATATTATAAGGCCTGCATTATATTTTATCTGGACGATTCACATTTACATGTAAAGATGTATTAACTTTTCCCACTTCAAAGTATTTTAAATGTTGTGCATTGAAGTTCTAAATAAGTAGATCATTTTACAAATTAAAATAGATTCTGTTGTAGTTAACTTTCAACCACAGTTTAGCATTTTAGGTAGCAAAAGGAATAGGCATACATGCATATGCATGAATATTCATAAATTACAATAAATAGCAGCGTTTCTATCCGGAGAACTACGAGCCAATCTTTGCCACAACCTCCTAGGGCAAGACTGAGTCATGAACTGGGGAAAGTGACAGTTGAGAAGGAGTATGGCAAAGATTATGGACTCAGTCTCTGGGCAGAAAGGCATGTGTCAACTCATCGATGGATTCTCCGGTGGTTGTGCTGGAGAAACTAAAATTTAACATGCAATATCAAAAAAAGAACAGATGCCTAAGATTAAAGATTTTAAAAAAATTTCTTTGGATAGGAAATTAAGTTCTTGCTATCCATAATGATTCAAACTCTGTAAGTACCTCATGATATTAAAAATATTTTTTTTAAGATTCAGAAGAAAAACAGTAGATCTACTTGCATATTTCTCTATTTTACATTTAAATTAAATTTATTTGGGGTTCAATTAAGAACTAGAGGAAGGAAAATGTGGTCTGTAATGTCTTCAGCCATTACATATATTTCTTTTTAGAACAAATATTCACCCGGTTATGTGGCAAAGGCAAAGGATACAGAAAAATGAATTAAGCCATTGGTTGTTCCAAATAAAAATAATGAATGGCTATTTAAAGATTTGCTCTTTATCTAAATATCAAGGGGAAGACATAATTAGGATTTATTTCCCAGTCCTACAGCCCAGAGAATTATGTTGTTGAAAGAGACAACAAGTTAGGGAAATTCTCACATCTTATCAAATAACAAGTTATTGTCTCTGAAATACCATAGTGAAATATTGTTCTCCATTAAATAATTATAAAACTCTCAGAGTTACCTTGGAGGTAAGATGGGCAGCTTATAAATTTAATTAATAAATACACTGTTCAAAAAAATAAAGGGAACACTTAAACAACACAATGTAACTCCAACTCAGTCACACTTCTGTGAAATCAAACTGTCCACTTAGGTAGCAACATTGATTGACAATCAATTTCACATGCTGTTGTGCAAATGGAATAGACAACAGGTGGACAGCAGAGGCAGTTAGCAAGACATCCCTAATAAAGGAGTGGTTCTGCAGGTGGTGATCACAGACCACTTCTCAGTTCCTATGCTTTCTGGCTGATGGTTTGGTCACTTTGGAATGCTGGCAGTGCTTTCACTCTAATGGTAGCCTGAGACAGCCTACAACCCACACAAGTGGCTCAGGTAGTACAGCTCATCCAGGATGGCACATCAATGCGAGCTGTGGCAAGAAGGTTTGCTGTGTCTGTCAGCGTAGTGTCCAGAGCATGGAGGTGCAACCAGGAGACAGGCCAGTACATCAGGAGATGTGGAGGAGGCCGTAGGAGGGCAACAACCCAGCATCAGGACCACCACCTCCGCCTTTGTGCAAGGAGGGACAGGAGGAACACTGCCAGAGCCCTGCAAAATGACCTCCAGCGGGCCACAAATGTGCATGTGGCTGCTCATATGGTCAGAAACAGGCTCCATGAAGGTGGTATGAGGGTCCACAGGTGGGGGTTGTGCTCACAGCCCAACACCATGCAGGACGTTTGGCATTTGCCAGAGAACACCAAGATTGGCAAATTCGCCACTGGCGCCCTGTGCTCTTTACAGATGGAAGCAGGTTCACACTGAGCACATGTGACAGACGTGACAGAGTCTGGAGATGCCATGGAAAATGTTCTGCTGCCTGCAACATCCTCCAGCATGACCGGTTTGGCAGTGAGTCAGTAATGGTGTGGGGTGGCATTTCTTTAGGGGGCCGCACAGCCCTCCATGTGCTCGCCAGAGGTAGCCTGACTGCCATTAGGTACCAAGATGAGATCCTCAGACCCCTTGTGAGACCATATGCTGGTGTGGTTGGCCCTGGGTTCCTCCTAATGCAAGACAATGCTAGACCTCATGTGGCTGGAGTGTATCAGCAGTTCCTGCAAGACGAAGGCATTGATGCTATGGACTGGCCCGCCTGTTTTCTGCATCTCAGAAAACAACGCGAGCCGCTGCCACCACCTCCTCCTCCCCCTCCTCCTCCCGAGCGGACTGAAAGCAGCTAGGGCTGAGGAAACGAAGCCACCTTGGCTCGCATTGTTTTCTGAGCCTAGAGCCAGGGAGCTTTCATTGCACGGCGGAGCTTCTTGTTTCAGGAAACACCGGGCGTCGTTGCTGCCCCCTGAGGGGAGGGCGATTCTGGGCTGTGCGATTGGGGAACTTCGTGGCTTTGGGTGGGTGGGTGGGAGCGAGGACGGACGGAGTCCGCGAAGCGGGGCTTGCCTGCCCTTGCTGGCTGCCTCTGCTTCCTTAGGGACGGGGAAGGGGGCTCATCTGGACCAAGGGTGAGTCTCCCCCTCAGTTTCCCCTGAAGGATCTTCCGTTGCTTTTGCCTTCTTCCTATGTCTTCCCTCTGTTAAAATCCCCCCGCCACACACACACACTTATTTTCAGGCGGATAGATTTCATGTCTGAGCATTCTCACATGACGGTGGGTCTTCCCCCCCCCCCTAAAAACAGTTAAATAAAGAAAAAACAATATATCCTCATGCAAGAACTTTTCTGCTTCCGATTACCCCCCATGCTTACAAGTTGCAAAGGAAACACGGAAGCAGAGAAGTGGCTGCCCAGATCTGGAGCTCCACACCATTTTTTTTTTCAGAGGGAATCTCACTTGAGTATAAGCCGAGGGGGTTTTTTTCAGCACAAAAAATGTGCTGAAAAACTCGGCTTATACTCCAGTCAATAAGTTTTCCCAGTTTTTTGAGGCAAAATTAGGTGCCTCGGCTTATATTCGGGTCGACTTATACTCGAGTATATACGGTACTTTGTTTTAAATACTAGTTTATAAAATCTCCAAGCTCACTGTTCTTGTCTAAACATTAAAGATTGAGAAAGATCTAGTTCATTGAGCAAAATAATTATCAGTCAAGTAGAATCAAATTAAAATTAAAATTAGAATTAAATTGCATCATAGCTTCCCTTTCCCTTTCAATTATGTCTAGAATGAAATTCAGCTAGGGCTCTGATTTTAAATTGTGGATTCTATTTATTTGATCCCCCAAATACTAATCTTGTCCAACTCTCATTTATCTGACTGAAATTTAGTTTCAATATAGTATTCCTTCCTTTATGACTGCTTTAAAAGATATATTCTAAGAATGGAACATGTACTTACTTGAATGGTGAAAACAAGAATGATAATGTAGTTTTCTTCTTCTGAGCCATCTTAACCTGAACACACAGGAAAAAAACAAGCAGCATTGTTAACAAAGTAGTTTTGTGTAAAATGAATGACTGAAACAAAGATATGGTCTTCATTTTGTTCTACTAACTAACTGACTACTAATCATAGCTAAGTTAAATAACAATGCCATTTATATGTCAAAATAATTTAAAATTAATAAATTAGTAACATATATCTTAAAGATTGAGGTTAGCAATAGTAAAAGTGGTTCACAAAGAACAATTTATTCCTCAAAACCCTTCTCAAAATTAAAGTCTTTGCAATGTGAATAAAAAGCAATTAGGAGGGAGCAAGGCAACCGTCTTTAGGGAATGATTTCCAAAACTGACAGGATTTATTTCCTGATTTCAGGCAAGGTTTCCACGATAATATTAATTACTAGATCTTCACACTGGAGGAACCTATTGTCCTTGAAGTATCCTGCTGTCAAGCAGCTTAAAGATCTAACCTCCATTTTGTGTAACGGGAAGCAATAAATAGTGACAACCAAAATTTAAATCTCAACTCTTAAATCATCTTCTAGTGGTTGGAATAGGAAGTATGCCAGTCCTAATAACATCAGAATTGAATTATAGGAGCAATTCTACACCTTGATTAAAATGCACCGCTTTCAATGACATCAATTCATATCAGTTATGGAAGTTCGACCCATAGAAATTAAATTCTATGTTTTAATTAACAAGTTCCTTGAATCATTTAGATTTTTTTAAGACAATGGAAAATATTGGCTGTCCCAGTAAAAAAAAGAGTTTTAAGGATTTAAGCTAGTTTTTTTTCATAATACTACTGTTTTTCATTTAGCAACAATCCTTCTATCATACTAAATTGTAAGTATAGACTACAACTTCCTATGTTGTTTCTATTTCTACTATGACAATCTGATTTTTCTACTGGAAATATTCATATGAATGTGCAGTTTACACATTTCAGCAATAGCTTACGTACCTTAAATTTTTCAAGAATCTGGACAGCGTTGGTAAGCATGCTCTCTGCCTTAAATTGGGCAGTATTATTCAAGTATTCAAGAGGTAAAACACCCTGAGGGGGCCAAAAAACAGAATTAATATTTAGCAGCATAATCCAGGCCCAGAAAAGCAAGCATTTTTACTAAGAACTATGACATCTTACAGTACATAAAGTAAAACAGTACCTTCAGAATTAGAGAACCATATTATTCACAATGAATCAGTACACATCTTCTACTAATAGTAGCATAAATGTCAGCTTTGAAACGGGACCCTTCATGCACATTGAAGAAAAGAAAAATTGTCCACAGAATGCTATGTAAGACTGACCCTTTAGATAACTTCCAAAAAATAAATGGGTTTAGCTACCCCATTGTGTGTGAGAGAGAGAGAGTCATCTTGCATATCAGATAAAAGCATCTTGGTTTACAAATGAAGTTCTCTTCTCTCAGAGGTTGTGTATTCATTCACAATATTTTAACCTTACTTCTCCTTATAAAGGTTGGTTGATAGATATGACAATTATTAGGCAAGTGTTTTGCTTATTAAAAATTGAAAATACAATTTCAGGGCTCCATTCTATAAAGTGGAACATTAGACATTTCAGTTCATTTCATGCGGGATTATAATTTCATGAATCAGCTGCTATGAAGTCATAAAGAGGGTGACTGTGAATTGAAGAAGTGATTCAATTATCAAGTGAATTATTAATCTCCCTCCCTCCCTCCCCCCCCTCTCTCACACACACACACTCACTCACACAAAGTAACAATTATCTGAACCCCCAATAAAATACATTTTTCCAAGCACACATAGATTAAAGAATGAGTATGACTAAGGCTTCTTCCCTAAAGATAATATAAACCAAATTTTCAAATGCATAATTTCTCCCAAAAGTATGTATTATTTTTTATTTATCCATTAAATTTATACCTGCTTCTCTAAAGTCTTCTCTTACCCCTAAAACAACAATCCTATGAAGTACGTAGATAATCATGTAATCACTCAGTGAGTTTCTATAGTCAAGAGAAGACTTGAACTTGGCTCTTCCTAGCCCTGGTTCAACACTTTCCCTATTACATCACAGAATATTTCTTCTAAATTTCTTGCTCCCAGAAACAGTATTCAAGTTAACCAGGGGTGGGATTCAACCAGTGTAACAACCGGTTCAGTGAGACAGTTTCTCTATACTGTTGCTCAGTGATAGCACTTTGTATATTTTGAAGTTAATCTTTGCACTTATCTATTTATTTTGATATAAGTTTAATTAAAAGGAAGAATCTAAGGAGGGACTGGGGTGAGGGGAGAGAAATCACCCAGGTGAGAAGGACACAATAGTGTTCACCAATCTGTCCATGAGGGACCCTGACCCTTACTGGAAGCAAGGTCATGATTTTGTATATATCCAGCCATTTGTGGTTCATTTAATAATGTGATTAAACAAACCATGGTTTCATGTAAAATGTGAACCTGGTCTATAGAGAAATTTCAACACGGGTCATTTTCCATTGAGAAGAAAAATAGCATATTAACTTACCACTGAATTCAGAGGAAAAGGAACTCCAATAAGGGAAGCCATCAGTGGTGCAATGTCAGCCTACAAGCAGACAAAAAAGTCTCCTTTGAATGCATACTTAAGCAAAATTAAAAGCTGAAGTCTCTTTTATGATGTATTTTCATAAAACATTTCTATATGCATGACATCCTTTCAGATAATTAAAAAATTGTTTCCATGTTTAATGGATGGGAACTTATATTATGCATCGTTCGTAAGAATTCAATCTGTGTCAACAGAGCACTGAGAATAAATGCTCTGCAAACAAAATTGTCTCCATAATGGTAACAATGGATGGGCAAGCAATGTTGCTTTAGAAACCAGGAAGGGTATTACAGATATAATATTCCCACTATAGTGCAGTTCTTGTGCTGAAAGCATGTCCCATATTTATACTATCAGCAGGTAAACCCATTTCAAATTTTGGCTATAAACAATTAATAAAACAAGCATCAAACAGAATGAATTAGTGACATAGATAGATAGATAGATAGATAGATAGATAGATAGATAGATAGATA